GGAATAAAAAACAGGAAACTTATTTTGAACATAATTCATTTGGACAAAACAGGGTATCTGATTAGTTCATTTCTCCCAGGCTTTCTTAACTCAAATTCATCAAAGTGAAATTACCACAGAAGTCCTTGCACTACAGGTGAAGCCTTTTGTAACCAGAAAGTTCTCTTTAAAGGGGAACTTGTTTTTAGTTAGTTTAACACACACACACACACACACACACACACACACACACCTGCCAAGATTAGTTAGACTTAAGCTCTAGCTCAAGAAAAAAAAAAGACAGCTCATCCACTAAGACTCTAAAGAGGAGCTTAACTTTTAGTTAACCCCCCTTTCTTCAGCTTACAGAAAGGAGAACTTAGCCTTTAAAGAGTCTTATAATCCTATGATTATTTTATTCCTACAAAGATATGTGTCTTACTCTAAATTATGTGCTACTAAATGATAAAGCCTTATCAGTTTATTCACTAAATCTATAGGTAACCTAGACTTAAGATGTAATGTAATGTAAGTTTGGCTTAGCTGTTAGGAATAGCTTTTCCTAAAGAAGGGAGCTTAATCCTACAATCAAACTAACAATAAATCAAAGTCATCAATACTAACTGATTTAAAGGATATTTCTTTTCAAGACATTATATTTTAAGAAATCATAAATGAAAATTGACAAAGTAAAAACTGAAAAAATCTACCAGTCACTTCTTAGAGGAAAACCCAAAGTAAAAGTCCCAGAAACATCATATTCAAAATCCAGAGCTTTCACATCAAATAAAATATATTGCAAGCATCCAGAAAAGACATTCGAGTACCAAAGAACCATAGCTAGGATCACAGAAGACCTGGCAGTTTCTACTATGGATGAGAGGAGAAATACAATATTGAAATATAACATTCCAAAAGGCAAAAGATACAGGTTAACAATCAAGAGCAATTTACCCAGAAAAAGTATAATGTACTATTAATGAAATAGAGGACTTCCAAGCATTCCTCATGAAATGACTTTGAAAAAGGAAGCTTTTCAATACAAACACAGTCAAGAGAAACCTAGAAAGGTAAATGTGTTTGAACAGTTAGAAGAAGCTGTATGATGGTGTGGTGCTAACATTCTTATATGAGGAAACCAAACAAGTGGACCTTCAGAAGCTTCATGTCTTCAAGGGGTATTGAGGGAGTTAAACAGTAAACCAGAAGACCTGGGAAGGATTGATTCTTTTCTGAGCGTATTAATACGGGAGAGGGAGAGACAAAGATTGAGGAAATAGATTGGTGTGGAAAGAAGGAAGAATGGGGTAGAACTTACTACTTCTCATAACTGGTGTTTGCAAAAAGAATATATAGACCTAAAGGAAGGATCTGGGGGTAGCAGTCATCAGATGAACCTCGCTCTTATCTGAAACAGACAAAAGAGGGTTGAACACACACACACACACACACACACACACACACACACACACACACATGGTGTAGAAATCCATCAAAATCAACAGGGAAACAAGCAGGAATGGAGAGGCAAGGGAGCTAAAGAGCAAAGATAATACTGGGGAGGCAATAGCCAAAAATAAAACATATTGATCCAGAAGGGGGAACTAAAAGGCAGGGAAAGACTAGACTCTAAGGGAGTGGGGAAAGACTGAACAAATATTTTGGCATCATTATCACCCTCTTCTCTCCACCTCACTCCCCAATTAAAAACTGAAAGAAAGAAAAAATCTTGTAACAAATAAGCATAGTCAAGTAAAAATGGATTCACATCATGGCCATGTCCAAAAAGTATGTTCTTTTTGTCACTTTGAGTTCATCGACCCTCTATCAGAAGGGGGGTAACATGCTTCATCATGTCACTGGAGGCATGGTTGGTCATTGCTTTTATTTTTTAATTTATTTTTTAAATTTTGTTTTGTTTTTAGGCAATTGGAGTTAAGTGACTTGCCCAGGGTTACACAGCTAGTGAGTGTCAAGTGTTTGGTCTGAGGCCAGATTTGAACTCAGGTCCTCCTGATTTCAAGGCCGGTGCTCTATCCACTGAGCCACCTAGCTACCCCTGGTCATTGCTTTGATGACAGTTCTAAATCTTTCAAAGACGTTTTTATTTACAATGTTGTTGTCTTTGTATACATTATTTTTCTAGTTCTGCTCACTTCATTTTGCATTAGTCCACATTACTCATAAATCTTTGAAATAGTTTCTTTTGTCATTTCTTATAGTATAATATTATTCCATTATATTTGGGAAGGGGGCTGGAATCAGGAAGACCTGAGTTCAAATCTAGCTTCAGGCACTAACTAGCTGTGTGACCTTGGGCAAGTCACTTAACCTCTGTTTGTCCCAACCCACAAGAGAAGGAAATGGCAAACCACTCCAATATCTTCACCAAGAAAACCCAATGGATAGTATTGGGGGGCTATGGTCTACCAGGTCATGAAGAGTCAGACATAACTGAACAACAAATTCTTGATGAAGATAAAACTAGTTTTCAATGATAATGACTTCTTTCTGTCAACAGGCAATCACAATGTCAGGAGACTTATGTTATAAACAGGTTTATTACATGAGAAATGAACGTGCAAGTGGAACCCAAAGAGTTCACAGTCCTTACAGAAGATTGCTTATTTTTGACAGTTCAACAAAAGGAGGAGGAGAAAACAGGAAGAGGACCTGGCATGGGAAGAGAAAGGTGCAGTAAAGGTGGGGAAAAGGACAAAACCCCTCCTGAAAGGGAGAAGCAAGGACATGGCAAAATCCTCATTCTTTTCCCTTAGGAACCCTAACTATGAAGATAAGAGGGTCCACTTATCTGCAAAGGACCCCAGCTGCACAAGCATTTTCCCAGCCTGGCACAGACTGACTGGTTCCTTTTTTGCCATCCAAGGACACAGAGGGAATCCAGCTTGGGGTGCAAACAACAGACTGTCAGCTGTGAGGGCACTTTGTCCTTGACACACGCAGGGTCTCCTGCATGCTCCGAGTCCAGTGTTCCTGGAGAATATGACAACTCAAAAAGACAAGTTCAGGGGACTCCTTAACATTTCTAATTGCTAACAAATAAGTCCTCAAAAACATGCTTTCTTATTTGACCCCCAAAGAACTGGAAGAGATAGCCTCTCAGAGAGTGAGGATTTTGAGATGATAAATGAGTGTTAGTTTTATTTTAAAATCCCCTTCTGAATTACCTTTTAATAAAAGTATTAGGGATCCCTCAGACACTTTAAATCCAGTCTCAATTTTTTCTTTCTTAGAAATGTAAGTTCTGAAGGCATCTTATTCCAGGATAAGCCTGTTTCATCCACATTAAAAATTTGTTGATTAGTGTAATTACCCTTCTTCAACTATTTTCTTCAAAATATCAGGCTATTTATCTATGGAATCTCATTTGCATTGGCCACCCAGACAATAATTTTAACATTATGCAGTCAAACTTGATTTTAAAAATAACTGACTCAATCATGGCTTGCAGTAAAAAATTCCTCATTATCTGTTTCATTTCCATTTTCTTTCACAGCCTTAAATAAACTTTAAGTTTTTGTCTTAATGGCTGTTCTGCTAAGAGGAATCTGTTTTTGATTGCAATCTTCATTCCATATAGCTAAAAGATGCTCTATTTCTATCACTGTAATACTTCGCATCTTCGTAGTTATTTGCAAACCACAAAAAACTGATACAGCTTTGTCTTTTTTATTTTGCCTGTGTGTTTTATAATATTCCCAGATATGAGAATCACTTTGACTTATAATATTCTATATTGTAGATTCAGGCATTCTTACATCTCATCATATTTTAGAGTTTCTACAACCACATACATGCCATTCAACTACATAGAATTTTTGTTCTAACGTAGTACAAACATCTTCATTTTTGCACTGGGAGTGCAAGGAAAGTGATGGAATATGGAATTAAATGACCTGTCATTGTATCCTGCCTGCCAAGTGGTTGAGATGATTTCCATATCTGGGTCTCTGTTTTCTTATTTGTAAAATGACAGGAGTGGGATTTGGAGGTTGGGGAGGAAAGAAGGAGAGCAGGTAGTGCAGGTAATCAAACAGGCATCACCATCCTCCCTTACAAAGCTTGCAAAGCCATCATCCCCCACACCTCATTCAAACTCAGCCCATATTCAGTTGCCAAATGTCTTGTAATTTCTATCTTCAAAACATCTCTCCTCCACATTCCCTCCTCTCCACCCACCGTGCCGCCATTGTCGCAGACTCTCATCACCCCTTGCCTGGACCACTGCAATAGCCTCCTGATTTGCTCTTGTGGCCTCCAGTCTCCAAACACTCCAATCCATTCATCTCTCAATGGTCAAAGTGATCTTCCATAAAGTGCAGGTGTGGCCATGTCATCTCTCCAACAGTCCCACTCAATAAACTCTTGTGGCTCCCACCTCCAGGTTCAAATACACAAAGTCCTCCATTACTTGACCCCTCCCTCCAATCCTCTTACAGCTTACACCTCCCCCCCACCCCATGTGATACAGTGACACTGGCCTCCTTGGTCCTTGAACAAAACGCTCCATCTCCCAACTCCAGGCATTTTCACTGGCTGTCCCCCATGCCTGGAATTCTCTCCCTCCTCCTATGTCTTGGCTTCCTTGGCATCCTCAGGTCTCAGCGAACATCCCACTTACAAGAAGGCTTTCTAGTCCTCAATGGTAGCATCTTCCCTCTGAGATAATCTACAATTATTATTATCATCATCATCCTACACATATTTTGTTCGTACACAGTTGTTTGCACGTTGTCTGCCCCGTTAATCTGTGAGCTCCTCCAGGACAGGGCCTGTTTTTGCACTTCTTTGCATTCCCAACTCTTAGCACAGTGCCCTGCACCTAGGAAGCGCATGACTGATTGAGGACCCTAGAAATGGGGCTGCACAAATGGGAGCCCAGGACTACATTTCCCTGAGTCCATAGGACCAGTCTCTTTCATTCAAGTTCGGACTTCATGTCCCAGAATCCATCTCCAGGCCTGACCAGGGCGGAACGCCGTAGAGCCCTCTGGGAAAGGGGAGTCTGGGCACGGGAAACGAAGCAGCCTGAAGAAATTTGGAGAGAAGGAGTTTGAAGCAGCCTCGATCTGAGGTGCAGAACGAGTGAGCGAGAGGGTGTGCGTGTGTGTTTGGAGAAGCTTGCGGGGAGCTGGAGTGCGCTGATCCCTTCGCCGTGTGCGGGGTCTCAGATTGCTTTTGAAAAGAGAGATGATTCCCTTCCCTCCTACCAAGCCTGGCTTGGGTACTTTCGTCCCACTTGAAGCAGGGGTGGGGTGGCACGCAGCTGTGTGGGTGGGGATGGGGGATTCTCTGCACGTGTGCCCGAGCTGACAGCGGGAAGTGGAGGAGACTGGCGCTGCTACTTCCTTCCCTCTGAGGTTACTTTCTACTTTCACTGTCTCTATTGTGTATTACCTGTGATTAGAATGTGAGCTCCCTGAGAGCAGAGGACAGTGTTTTTTCCTTTCTTTGTCTTTCCAGTGATCAGCAACTATACTTGGAACATAATAAGCTCTTAATAAAATGCTTGTCGGCCCACCTTCTGATGTGCGCCTCCGTTTTCTAGTTTTCCAGGCTGAAAGTCTTGCAGTTTGCTAGGTTTTTATTATTATTATTATTGCTGTTTTGTTTTTGAGAAATTTTTTTTTATGCCTGCTGTTCGTTATTTTTTTAAACATTGCTGTCATTTCTCAAAGGCTAACTGTCTCCTCCACCTCCATAGAATCCTTTCTCGACAAAGAAGTACGATTAAACAAAACAAGTCAATACATTAAGTAGTATATCTGAAGATGTATACCTCATTCTGCATCTATAATTTACTTCTTTGCAGCTGGAAATATGCTCCTTTGAAAGATCTATGAAATCTTGTTTAATCACTGCATTGATCAGAGTTCTGAAAGCCTCCTCATGTTGTGTTCTTGTACTTGATTGTGTAAATTGTTCTAATTACTTCCCAGCATCACCTCATACAAGCCTTCTCTAGTTTCTCCAAATTATTCATAGGGTTGGTTTCAGAGAAACCTAGGAAGAAATATGAATTGATGCAAAGTGAAGTGAGCAGAACCAAGATAACAATTTTTACAATAATGACAACATAGTAAAGATAGTTTCCAAAGACTTAAAAACTCTGATCAATGCAGTGACCAACTATTGACCCAAGAGGCGGGATACTGAAACATGCTACTCTTTCCTGACAGAGGTGATGGGCTCAGGATATAAGAAATAGATTCCAAACCCTTAGAACAAGCATGCATAAGCATCCAAAACAAATCCCACATTGGTTGTATCCAAAAATGTGTGTCTTATTCTGCATTTTTCTCTATGAACTGTCTGTCAGGTTGAGTAATATGCTTTTATCACCAATCCTCTGAGTTAGTGGTTTACTACTGCACTGATAACAGTTCTTGAGCCTCCCAAAATTGTTTGTCTTTACAATGTTGTTATTGTATAGATTATTCTCTTGCTTCTGCTAGCTTGCGACTGCATCCATTCATACAAGTCTTATCAAGTTTCTCTGAAATCCTCCCTTTCATAATTTTTACAGCATAATAGTATTCTACTACATTTGTATGCCATTATTCTAGTTCTTTGCCACTACAAAAAGAGCTGGTACAAATATTTTTGTACATAGGCATCCTCTCTTTGATTTTTTGAGAAGAAGAGGTCTATTAGTATCACTGAGTCAGAAAAACCCAGAGTGGAAGATCCAATTGTCATCTTCTACTCCTCCTCACTCCACATATCCAATGTTGCTAAGTTTTGATTTTCCAACCTTTAAAATATCTCTTGTACAAATCCCCTCTTTTCCACTCACACAACCATTATCCTAGTAAATGCCCTCATCACCGCACACTTAGACTATTGCAATAGTTTTTCGATTGGTCTTCCCACATCAAGTTTCTCCTCAGTGTAGTCCATCCTCTGTTCAGTTATCTTTCTACAGCTTAAGTCTGACCATGTCACTTCCCCTGTACATTAAACTCCAATGACTACCTCTTACCTTCAGGATAGATAATAAAATGTTTTATTTGGCCTTTAAAGCCCTTGACAACCTAACCCCTTTTACCTTTCCTGTCTTCTTACTACCTGTTCCCCTCCACATATTCTACAACCCCAAAACACTGGCTTTCTTGTTCCTAGCACAAGACACTATCATGTGACTCCACACCTCCACATCTGTATCCCATGCCTAGAATGCTCTCTTTCCTCACTTTTACCATTTAGCAATCTATAGCTTCCTTCAAGACTCACCTTACAGCCTACCTTTTTCAGGAGGCCTTTACTGGTCTCCCAGTCCCACCTATTACTAGCACCTTCTCTCTGAGATGATCTCTTTTGTCATTTTCCTTTTTTTGGTAATTTTTACCAATCTGAGGGATATGAGGTAGAACCTCAGAATTGCTTTAATTTGTATTTCTCTAATTATTAGTTATTTGAAGATATATTTTCCCCATAGGGCAATTGATAGCTTAGATTTCTTCCTTTAAAAACTTCCTGTTCATAGCCTTTGACCATTTAGCTATTGAAGAATGGCTCTTGTTCTGTAAATTTGGATTAGTTTCTCACATATCTTGGAAAGAAAAACTTTGCTGTAGTTTCTCCCCCCTCCCAGTTTTTTCCTTCTAATTTTAGCTGCATTGTTTTTGTAAAAAGATTTAAATAAAAAATTTTAAAAAGTTTTCAATTTTCTGTAATCAAAATTTTTATCTTTTTTGATCCTGTCTAGCCCTTGTTTGGTCATGAACTTTTCCCTTAGCCATAGTTCTAAGAGACAATGTCTTCATTGCTTCTCTGATTTGTTTATAATATGACCTTTTATCTCTAAGTCATACATGTATTTGGAATGTATCTTGGCATATGATGTGATATGTTGGTCAATACTTAATTTCTGTCAGACTGCTTTCTAATTTTCCCAATAGTTTTTGCCAAGTAGTGAATCCTTACTCCAATAGTTGGGTTTTTGAATTTTTTTTAACAGGCTACTACTATATTTGTTTGCTTCGATATATTATATACCTAATCATTTCCACTGATAAGCCTTTCTATATCTTAACCAGTGCCAGATTATTTTGATGATTACTGCTTTGTTATGGTTTGAGATCTAGTACTGCTAGGGGGTTCTTTCCCATTTTTTTTCATTATTTCCCTTGAGATTCTTGGGCTTTTATTCTTCCTTATGAATTTCATCATTTTTTCTAGCTCTGTCAAGTAATCATTTGGTATTTTGGTCTGGTCCTGTTTTCTAGATCAGTTGTTTTTTATATATCTTGTATTTTCTATTTTTTTCAATCATTTGATTTTAATTTTTCTTGCTATTTCATGGAGTCATTGGTTTCTGTTTGATTTATTCTAATTTTTATAGAGTCCATGGCTTAGGTAAGGCTTACCACTTTCTCTTCTCTGCTAGGGTTATCAGCTGAGAGTATGGGTGGGAGGGAAGATGTAGGAATCTTGAGAACATTTGAAGTAGCTTTTGTGAGGAATAAGATAGGGAACCAATTAGGGGGGGAAAATTTAAAGCAGTATTTGCTTTTATTTATCACTGCTTGCTGCAGTGGGGACTCAGTTGAAGTTGGATAATGTGAATTTATAATGTACCCAGTAAGCATGGTTATATGATGTCCTCCAGCTCTGATGTTATATGACTTCCTCCAGCAAGATGACTACAAGCAGAAAAAATGGTTAATGGTAGGAATCCAGGGATGATATTTGGAAGGGGATGAGTAGCAATAAGAGAAAAAGGCAGAAGATTTAAAAGTAGATGGCAATGTAAAGTTTAATTGATTAATTATAGAGTCAATACTGGGAGGGGAGGAAAGTGAAGTCAGAGCAAGCATAAAGTGTAAAGACTGACTGAGTAAGAAGATTGTAGAATAAGGGAACTGTGTAAACATAGTATACATAGATTTCAGTAAAGCATTTGATAAAGTCATTGATTGTGCATAAAACAGGGAGATGGGCTAGAATTCAGGGGTGGGGAACCTGTGGCCTGGAGGCTACCTGTAGCATGCTAGGTTCTCAAGTGCGGCCCTTTGACTGAATCCAAACTTCACAGAACAAATCCCCTTAATAAAAGGATTTGTTCTGTAAAACTTGGACTCAGTCAAAAGGCCAAACTTGTTAAATTTGCAGCTGACTTAAGAAAGGAGGTATAAGTAACATGCTGTGTGATGGAGTCAGAATGAAAAAAAAAAACAACCAACAGCCTTGAACAATGAACCAAATAAAATATAGTTAAATGTGAGATTCGACACTAACACCCCCCCCCCCAGTCACTGTACAGATATAGGAAGTGAGAGATATGACTAGATGTCAGTCCCTGTAAAAAAGGTCTAGGAGTCAAGTTTGTCCCCAAGAGATAAGAAAATGTATCTGTCTCCTATCTTTGCAGAGGTGGGGGACTATAGATGTTGAATATTCATTACCTAAACCATCAATCCTTTTTGATGTGTTTAACTGAACACTCTTTTTTCACTCTTTTTTTTTCCTTTTTCATTACAAGGGATGGCTCACCGATTGGAGGGATTTAGAAATTAATGTGATATATATAAACAAAAGATATCAATAAAAAAATCCTCAAAACCAAAACTGGTCGTGGCCCAACAGAGAGACTATAGGGGTGCCTGGATTGTCTGGTTTAATTGATGTGTTGGTTAGTTTTGATGCACTATCCTTTTTTTCCCCCTCAGTGTAGTAGGGATGGATTGGCTCCTGAGGCCAGTCCCTGAAGCATTTGGAGATTTTCCATGTCTGGTTCCTGCTCAAGTGACCATGTGAAGGGTGCTATATTTAAAAGAAAAAAGTTTTGTTACAAGAAAGGCACACTGGGTTGGAGAGGAGGTAGGAGTATATTTGGAAATAAAGACAATGTAAAAAAAAATCAATAAATCTTTTTAAAACAATAAGGTCTGGGGTTTTTAATGGACTTTGAGCTCTATTTGAGTTAACTGTGTGAAAATGGAGTAAAAAAGATAATGTTAGGCTGCATTATTGGCCCCACCTGGAAGACTTTATTCTCTTCTGGGCATCACAGTTTAGGAATGACATGAACAAGCTACAGTGTGTCCCTAAGTGTGACACCAGAACGCATAGTGAGGGACTTCAACTAGCTAGAGACCTAATTATTTTGTTCACAAATGACTGGGGAACATACCACGTAGAAATTAGCTGAAGGTATCGAAATTGTTAACCTGGAGAAGGGAAGACTTTGTTGGGGAAAGGAAGGACTGTTACACAATAATAATAATAATAATGATAGCTAGCATTTATATGGCACCTACTATGTGCCAGATATTATGTAGGCTAAGCACTTTATAAATATTAACTCATTTGAGCCTCACAACAATCCTGTGAGCTATGTACTATTATTATCCCCATTTTACAACTGAGGAAACTGAGGCAATCAAAGGTTAAGTGACTTACTTAGGGTCATGAAGCTAGTGAGTGTCTGAAGCCAAATTTAAACTCAGGGAGATGAGTCTCCTGGATTCCGAGCCTGGTGCTCTGTCCACTGTACTATCTAGTTGCAGAAAGTTATTAAGACTTTTTCTACTTAGCCATAGAAGGCAGAACTAGGAGAAACTGGAGGAAGTTCTAAAGAGACAGATTTAAGGTCTATGTAAAGAAAAATTTCCCAACATTGTTTTCTAGAAGCGAAATGGGCTTCTTGGGGGATAGATAGGTTTGTCCTCACTAGAGGTCCCCAAAGACCCTCTCACCACTCGTAGGGTATGTGGTAGAGGTTCATCTTGTGCAGGTACAAATTGGACGAACTGGCCCCCAAGTTCCTTTTCCACCTCTTAAAAGTCTGTGATTCTCTGATGTGAAATGTTATCAAGAAGTAACAGAATGACTAAACAAATGATGGTGTATGAATGTAATGTGATGGAATATTATTGTGCTATAAGAAGCATTGAAAGGGATGGTCTCAGACAAGCCTCACCACACCTGTCCAAACTGATGCAGAATGAAGTGATCAGAATTAAAGACTAGAGAACGCTAAGCATTGCAGTGGTCAACTATGATTTCAGAAGACTGATGATGAATCTTGGCACTCCTCTTAACAGAAAGGTGACAGACCCAAGATGCAGAATGAGACCTATATTTTTGGACACAGATAATATAGGAAGTTGTGTTCCTTGACTGTGTTTGTTATAAGACTTTTGTTTTTCCATTTTTTTTTTCAGTTGGGGAAGAGGGTCAAGGTTTAGAGAAGATAAGGACAGGGTACCAAAAGAAAGAAAAAAAAGGGTCATTGGGGCATTTTTCTAAAAAGTGGAGAGAAAAGAACAGAAGGAAAGCCAGAAAGAAAGCCAGATAAGTAGGTCAGCTCAGAAAATTACTAGTTGATCTTACATACTTACAAAGAACAAGCTATACATAACAGAGACCCACAGTTCCATGTACAATCCTCTATTTTCTATTCTACGTGTATGCAAATGCTTGTTCTGTTTGGTGTTTAAGTTCAGAATAAAAATAAAAATATATTAAAAAGAATGTTAGTTACTAGTAATTTGAAGTTTTATGAGTTATATTAAAGACAGTAAAATGGTGTTCTAAATGTAGATGAAAAGCACTAATTGGGCTATAAAAACAAAACAAAAAAATAGTCCCTGCCCTCAAGTAACTTATATTCTACTAAAGGAGGTACCAAAAAATAATGAAATTTATTGATTATATACTTAAAAAAACCAGGTGGTATCAGGGGCACCTAGGTGGTACAATGGATAGAGCATCAGCCCTGGAGTCAGGAGGACCTGAGTTCAAATCCAACCTCAGATACTTGACCCTAGGCAAGTCACTCAACTTGCCTCACCAAAAAAAAAAAAAAAGGAAAAGGAAAAAAAGCAGACAGTATGTAATAAAGATTCACAGTTTCACATATAATCTTCTTTTTGGGTTTTTGTTTGTAGAACTGTCCTGTTTTTTAAGGTGTCTAATAAATTCAGAATTAAAAAAATATAAATTTTTTTTTAATGTAAGGAACTGATTTTTATCACTGGTTTGTAGAGTCATTCCCATTACTTTAGAGCCATGTGTATCATCATCATTTTCTAGAGAGAATTAAGAGGTTAAGTGGTTTGCCTGAGGTCACATTACTCCTTACTGGTAGAGCCAAAATGGCAAGCCAAATTTCCTGACTCCCAGGGCTGTGCTCTTTCTTCTACACTCTGCTTTCTCTCTGATGTTAATGTAATAGAGCCATGAGGCCACTTTGGAAGGTTGCTTGCTGATTCTTTACATGTCATTAGAATCAGGGGAAAGAATGGGAAATACTTTTTCTCATTGAAGGAGAAGGTGACTTTGGCAGAGAGGGGTTTGAGTTATGTTACAAATCACAGCTAGTTGAAGCGTCCTGTTAATTTAAGCCGTGCGTCTCGACTCAGAAACAAGTCTGTCCCCTTCAACGTGCTGCAAGTGCATTTCAGGGTGATGGTCCCAGCAGTATCATTGATCCTTTTCTCCCACCCTGGAATGTGTTGGTCTTGCTGACCTCCATCTTTGTAGGGCATGGAGAAGGTTGGACAACCCACCAAGATGTTCTGTAGATTTCCAACATGGTGAGTCACATGAGCAATCTCCCTCATGTCCTTTTTCTCCTTTCTCAGCCCTGCATTCTCAGGACTCTGCCTTTCTCCAGGAGGGGAATATAGAAGAGGAAAAAAATGGTTCCTGTGTTCCAGACAGCCAGGTCCCAGGTGAATTGACCTTTCCTCCCTCTTTCATGAAATCAAAACACAGTTTCCAGATTTTACTTCCCTTATCATACAGCTTCTCTGTCCAGCTGTGTATTATCCAGGAATGAGCCCTAATTCTTCATCTGCTGTGCACCCGCATCCATTATGGTTTCCTAAGCTGAAGCCTGACATAGTGATGGGCACAGTGACTTGGAAACAAGAACCTCTCTCTGGCTTCTTCCCCACTTCACAATACATTGAGCTCAGAGCACTTAAACAGGAGTGGGGAACCTGCAGCCTTGAGGCCACATGTGGCCTCAAGGCTGCAGGTTCCCCACCCCTGAAAACATCATCAGAACCACTTCTTGTCCATCCTTTCTCTCTCTCTGAGTGCTTTCAGATACTTTTCTTCCCTCAGGGATGAGGGCAATCAAAGATGTATTTGTTTCAGGAATCACTAACATTTAAGGATGTGGCTGTGAACTTTACCCAGGAAGAGTGGATACAACTGAACTCTGCTCAGAGAGACCTGTACAGGGATGTGATGCTGAAGAACTATAGAAATCTGATCTCATTGGGTAAGGATGGCTTTATCCTGTGATTTAGAGTCCGCCCTTTATTAAGGCAATATGCTTCTTTGCTAAATGGAAATAATTCGGTTTAATTCAATGAATATTCATTGGGGAATAAAAACTGAACTTTTGGTATATGGAGCTCCCAAGCGTGGAAACTACCAATGCAAGCTGGTACCTTAAACTTCATCTTAGAAAGTTGCTGAGAACAGTGAGAGATCAAGGGACCTGCCCGGGTTCATACAGCTAGTATGTGTCTGAGGTGGGACATGAACCCATGTCCTTCTGGCTTCAGGCCAGCTCATCTGCTCTGCTACATCTCTTCAGTATTCACTAAGCTTCTAATAAGTGTAAGGCATTTTACTAGGCACTGAGGATAACAAAGTAAAACAAAAACCAGCCCCGTGGAGTTTACTTTCTATTGGGAGGGGGTTATAACATGTATATAGAAAAGTAAACACAAGATAATTCGAGGCAGGAGAGAGCACTGACTATTGGAAAAAGCTTCAAGTAGTAGATGGGCAGGTGTGTGACTAGAGTTGGTTTTGTTTCACTGTGACTGTTTCTTAAGTGTCGTCATGTTAGAATGATTTGTTTCCAGGGATCAGAGATACTGTCTTCAAAAAATGCAAAGCACCAGCTCTCTACCACTTTGTAGATAATCTCTTTAGTCTGTGCCCGACAAATTCAGCACTCTGAAAACTGTTGATGAGGTTTTCTGAACTTAACTGGGCTGGTCCTTGCTACCAGGCACATGGTCCACCAGAGGCTTCATCCTCGAAGCCTTTATCAAGACTATGGGCATAGCTTTTGAGAGCCTAGGCTCACCTACCTCTATGCCGTAATGAAGACGGCAGCAGAGGACTTTAATAGATGCCTATGGGAAATGCTTTGAAGCTTCAGAGACTCCTGTTTAGCTGTGAAAGTGATAATACAGTCTACTAACTGCATGAGGACCACATAATGAATGAGGTTTTGAAATAATAAACACAATGACTACTGCTGTGTAAATGGTAAGAACAAAAAACCTGCTACCTAAAGGGAGCTCTGGATCCTGAAGGGAAGAGAAATAAACGTCCTATTCTTAAAACTAGGTGGGAAAGGCAAGGAAGTGCATAATGTGACCAAAGATTAGTGACAAGGATGGAAGATAAAGTGTGGATTAGTTGTGCCCATAAAAAAAAAACCAAACCAACAACAACCTGGAATAGTCAGTCATGGTACAGACGACAACAGTATGGAGGCAAGGGACAGAGGAAAGGGTCACCATCTCAACACATCTTTGGACACAGGTATCAAAGAGATGGTTATAGAGAAGAGAATTGCTCAAATGAGTTTTGACTTATGAGACAAGCCAGAGGTTTCTAATCTTTTTTGGACTCAGATATATCAAGTATTTCTGTTCTGTGTTACAAGGTGAAAGTTCTATAATTCACAGAACTGAAAACAGACAGCTTCATCATACTTCTCTGATGTTTTATTTTCTCCCATCTTGTGGTCCCAAAGTTTCTGGAAGCACCAGCCTGTGCCTCCTTCAGAAATCTCTGCAAACTCCCTCTGGACTTGTCTACCACATTCCATGTCAGCTTGGCAGAGTTAAAAGTAGAGTCAGGAGACTTGGGTTCATCCCAGCTCTGTCACTTATTCACTATGTGATCTTGAGGAAGTCCAGCATCAGTTTCTTCACCTATAAAGTAAAGGGTTCAGACTAGATGATGTAAGTCCTTCCATTTCTAACATGAGTCTATATTTGCCTTCCCTTCCTTACAGAAAAAAATTTCCTGGAACCAATTTCCAGGATAGTTCTATATCCCCAGGACAAATTGCTATGTTTTATTTACTTCTTTATAAATAGGGCTTTCCATTTCTAAATCTGACGTTATCATCCAATTGGAGCAAAGGGAAGAACCTTGGATATTCAACCTGCAGAGAACTGAAGTGAGAAGGGTCCCAATAAATACTTCTCTGGGTGAGTGAGTGACAGAAGAACTAGGTAGATGGGAGTCAATTCAAATAACAGCCTATTTGTTTAGTGAGAGGGAATTTTTTTTCAGTGGCCCCAAGGTCAGTTGATATGTCTATTGCCATTGACTCATGTAGGAAAGCTATCTTGGGTCAGTGGCATCACATTCTTTAATTATGATTCCTCTGATTCTCTTTTCAAGTTGTCACCCACCAGCTCTTTTCTTTTCTTTACCCAGAGACATTCTTCCTTACTCACCGAAAATTTATTTTCCCAGATCCTATCCTAATCCTCATTCCTTTCCTGATATTTCTATTCATCACTATTCCCTCCATTTAACATACTTGCACATCATTCTTATCATACTTCTAGACTGGTTCTCCTATTTCTTGGTTAGTAGACCAGTCACCTTCCCTCCAATTATATCCTGAGCTCTGTTCTCTCCCATTTTTGATCCTCTCTCCAGTTTACTATGCTTTTTTGGAGACCTATCCAGTCTTACAAATTTTAGTATGCATTCTTTTTAGTTTTGTTATCTCTTTTCCTTACAGCATTTTTCTTTCTTTCTTTCTTTCTTTCTTTCTTTCTTTCTTTCTTTCTTTCTCTCTTTCTTTCTTTCTCTCTCTTTTTCTCTTCTTCCTTCCTTCCTTCCTTCCTTCCTTCCTTCCTTCCTTCCTTCCTTCCTTCCTTCTTTCCTTCCTTTCTTTTTGTCTAGGACAGAGAGAGAATAGATGACATTTATATTTTCTCTTGGTTTCAGTCTGGGAAATATACCTGAGGCCCAGGGGTCAACTCCAAAGAAGAACAATCCTGAAGAAGTAGGATCACCAGAAGTGTTAATGAAAAGACTTAGAGGAGGAGGGTTTGTACCTGAGGGCAAAGTAGAAAGATACAGACCAAATACAGAAAGGAGGACAAGGGAAGAACCCCTTTCCCATGAGAGAGATTTCAAGCAATTGTCAATCAAACTTCCTCCAAAAAATACTAAGGAAAAAGGCCCTGAATGTGGTGAATGCGGGAAAGCCTTTTTTGACCGATCAACCCTTACTCGACATCAGAGAACTCATACTGGAGAGAAGCCCTTTGAATGCAATGAATGTGGGAAAGCCTTCAGACAAAATCTTAGCCTGCGCAGACATCAGATCATTCACACAGGAGAAAGTCCCTATGAATGTAGTGAATGTGGCAAAGCCTTTGACCGCTCATCCCTTACTCAACATCAGAAAATTCATAGTAAAGAGAAGCCCTATAAATGCACTGAATGTGGGAGAGCCTTCCTCCAAAGAAGACACCTTAATCAGCATCAGAGAACTCATACGAGAGAGAAACCCTATGAATGTAGTGTGTGTGGAAAATTCTTCAGTAGCAAGTCATCTGTCATCATACATCAGCGACGTTATGCCAAAGAGTAACCCTGGAAATATAATTAATTTGGAGAACAATTTAGTCTGAATTGTTATTTTGCTAAATACTCAAGAGGCAAGAAAACACATAAAAGCTTAATACAGACTTCCTCAATTGCAAACAAATTTGTTGTACAAACCTGATAATGTTCTGGTTGATATTTAATTTCTCTCTTTTGATGTCAATTTTTTTTTTTGGCAAGGCAATTGAGGTTAAGTGACTTGCCCAGAGTCACACAGCTATTAAGTGTTAGGTGTTTGAGGTTGGATTTGAACTCAGGTTCTCCTGACTTCAGGGTTAGTGCTTCATCTGCTGCTCCAGCTACTTAGCCGCCCCCAAATTTGTTTTTTTAAAAGAAAAATATTCTATAGATGCTCTTTTATTGCCACTTCTCACTGACTCCCTCCACCCCAATAGAACCTTTTCTTATAACAATTAGTATAGTCATTCTAAACAAATCAACACATTGACAATGGCTAAAACTGTATGCTGCACTCTGTACTTCTAATCTACCACCTCTACCTTCTTAGTCTACCTGGAAGTGGGAGGTACACTCTCCATCAGTCTTCTGAAATAAACTTACACTGATTTGGTCACTTACCAAACTCTGAGCAAGTAGTCTCCATGTACTCTGCCATGAACATGTCATAAATTCACAAAGCAACTGTAAAAACTTCCACAAAACTGTTCTGCGCCAGTCCTTATATTGTTGTCATTTAGTCATTTTTCAGTTGTATCCAACTCTTTGTGACCCCATTTGGGGTGTTCTTGGCAAAGATACTGGAGTGATTTGCCATTTCCTTTTCCAGCTCAACTGAGACAAACTGGGGTAAGTGACTTGCCCAGGGTCACACAGCTATTAAGTATCTGAGGCCAGATTTGGACTCAGGTCTTCTTGACTCTAGGCCTGTCACTCTATCCACTGTGTGGTGGTGCAGTAACTGACCTTGTATGGGACTACCTTAAAGGGCACTCTTTTCTTACAACCAAATCCAATGACCTTTTCTTTATATATGTGATACTTTTGTCTACATCCTTCTCCAAACTCACATTGGCTTCTATATTTATATACTTCTCCCATCTGTCTAAAGATGGCTCTTTTTAGGGGCAGCTAGATGGCGAAGTGGATAGAGCTCTAACCTTTGAGTCAGGAGGACCTGAGTTCAAATCTGGCCTCAGATGCTTAACACTTACTAGCTGTGTGACCCTGGGCAAGTCACTTAACCCCAATTGCCTCACCCCCCCCCCCAAATGGCTCTTTTTCCTCCCTAAGTGTAACTCTAGGTTTTCTCAAAGGCTTTGCCCTTGGATTTATCCCTTTATATTTATTCCTTGAAATGCCACTTTACTCTTATAGTTTCAGTTATCATATCTATGCTAATCTTTCTGAAATCAACACTTGTGTCACTATCCTACAGTGAAATGGCAGAAATTAAGGAATTAATTTGTTCATGCAGCTAGTCCTACCACAGATACTAAACCTACATTTCCTTTCCCCACCCTATCTGAGACCTAGAGTCTTTGCCTTCCTTATTGTATTCTATCTATCCTCCATCTTTTTGTCCTGATACTCCTTTGTTTTCACCAACTATCTCCCAGGAATGCATGTTCAGATTCCTCTCCAGTAGCTCACTGATAATCCTATTGACATCTCTGTTGCAATCCTGTAACACAGTATATGGGCTTTGTCTGTGATATTAAGAATCAGTTGCTTCCCCTTCTTAAAGTTGGCATCACTGTGATCCAAAATCATTTATGCAAGTCAAATGCGTTTTGGTCTCTGCTTATGTTATGTCTGGGTCTGTTTCCAGTTTCACATGGATCATTTAGTACCTGATGATGTCATAATTCACAGTATAAACAAATAACAGTATCTACAAAATAAAATTACAGTCTCCTCCACACTTACACCCAGGGCTACTATCCTTGTCCCATGATATGGAACCAGAGGGCACAGAGATCTGATGAAAGAATACTACCACCAGAGAGACAAAGCTGTCTTCTACCACAGATGTTAATTAGATGCCAAACACACACCGAGTGCTCTCCGGAAAAGAATCACACAAGTGTATCAGGAGCTGAATTGGACTGGATTAGTATTAGGAAATGAGAAAGGAGGTCCAGGATACAGGTCATCACTGACCCTGAAGACACTAACCCATACCAATTTGAGAGGCCAGATCTTTAATATTGGTGTATGGAATTCATAGTGAGGAAATTCCCTCTGCCGATGAGGCAGCTAGGCGGTACAGTTGAACAGAGTGTTGGACCTGGTGTCATGAAGTCCAGAGTTCAAATAACACCTCTGACACTTATTAGTTGTATGACTCTGGGCTAGTCACTTAACCTCTGCCTTAGTTTCCTCATCTACAAATTGATACTACTACTACTACTAATATTGATACCACTACTACTACTAATAAATTGATACTAATACTAATGATAAATAATAAAAAAAAATAGCATTTACCTCACAGGGTTGTTGTGAGGATAAAAGTAGATATTATTTGTAAAGTACTTGGCAGACCTTATAGTATAATTGACAGGAGTGGGGAACCTGCAGCCTCAAGGCCACCTGGGGTCTTCTAGGTCCTTGGGTGTGGCCTTTTGACTGAATCCAAGTTTTACAGAACAAATCCTTTTGTTAAGGGGATTTGTTCTGTGAAAAGGGCTGCACTTGAGACGGACAGGGCCACATGTGGCCTCGAGGGGTTTCCTACCCCTGGATAAATGCTGTTGTTCAGTTACATCTGAATCCCCACGACAGCATTTGGAGTCTTCTTGGCAAAGATACTAAAGTGGTTTGCCATTTCCTTCTCCAGCTCATTTTACAGATGAGGAAACTAAGACAAACTGGGGTAAGTGACTTGCACAGAGTCACACAGCTAGTAAATGTCTGAGGCCAGATTTGGACTTGGGTCTTCCTGACTCCAGGCTCAGCGCTCTATCCACTGTGCCACCTAGCTGCCATATTACATGTTACATATTTTATGATACTTCTATTTCTCTCTCATATTATAAGTTGAAAACTATACGTTTCATGGTCTTAAAAATAGGCAGCTTCTTTGTGTATGCATTCCCTATCCTCTTTTCCTGAAGCTCAGAGATTATCAACCAAAACTTGAGTACGGATAGGTGGAAGATTATCAGTTATAAAATAGGGGAAGAGATAAATGAACTAATTCAGATACGCCTGATCGGTTACCTGAATGGTCACTTTCTGGAAGAAAAGGAAATTCAAGCTTCCTTTGGTGGCTCATGTAATTCCCTCTAGATGTCCCTTCTGAAGAGGGGGACTACTTGATGTGGTGGAAGGAGTCAGGAGGCCTCAGGTCAAGTCTCACCTGCACCACTCTTTAGTTGCACAAGTAACCTCTCTGGGCCTGTTTCCAGATGTGCCAAATGAGGCAAGTTGGATTAGATACTCATGATGACCTTTTCAGTTATAACATTAAATGAGACTCCATTTCCTTTCTCTTCCTTGCAGAACAAGTGGCTGAGATTAAATTCTGGGATATTTCAGTGCCCTTCATCTCCTCTATAAACCTTGTTCCCCATTTTAAACTTGATATGATCTTCCTATAAGGGCAAGAGGCATAGATGATCAATCTGAAGAGAAATGGAGATGCCAAGAAATACCTCTTTAGCTAAGTGAGAGAGAACAAATTGGATGGAAACCACTGGAAAAAAAATCATTTCAGAGAAAGAGTTTTCCTCAGTGACCTTAGACTTGCTGAGATTTGTTGCAATAGACTCAGGCAGGAAAACTCTCTTCCCTCTTTTCTAGTCAGATGGAGCGGTGGTTACTTTTTCATACAAGGTATTTCTCTATTTCCCCTTTCTCATGTATTCGTTGCCATTGACTGACTTTTGCCTTTCATTGTATTGCTGAGAAGAGCTGAGTTCATCATCACACAATATTGCTGATACTTTGTACAGTGCTTTCCTGGTTCTGCTCATTTCACTGTGTCAGTTCATACAGATCTTTCCAGGCTTTTCTGAAATCTGCCTCTTCATCATTTCTTATTGCACAATGTATTCCATTACACTCATATACCACAGCTTGTTATAAATATCGTTTTCAAAAGGCATCAATGGATTTTTTTGAAATGGGTCTTTATGCCACAGAATAGCTTGAGATTAAAAAAAAAACATTGTAGTTTTCAGAATGCTAGCTAGTTTACTTTCCTACTTTTGTTCAATTCTATAATGCCCATCCAAGATAGATTGGACTTGCTCAATGGGAAGACCATCTAACTGCATATTATACCTCAAATCTCAGCAGCTTTTTTGTACCTCTCTAATGAATTTAACATATAATATTTTGTTTTATAGTTATCTGTATATATATGTTATCCTCCCTCTAGATTGGGGTTCCCAACATGGGATATATGTACTGCCAGAGAATATGAGAAGGTTGCACAAAGAATAGTTGGTAAATAACTATATTATCCTTTAGAAAATTATTAATCACTTTAAAAATTGTATGTGCATTTGTGTGGTAAATTCTAGAATCTACTGAAATTTACTGGATTTACTTTAAAATCAATGTACTGAATATATTTATAGAATTTACTTTACTGAAAGTGAAGAGGACTCCCCCCCAAAAAAAGGTTGGAAACCCCTTTACTAGACTGTGAGTTCCATGAGGAGCCCTGTCTTACCTAAACTTTGCATCTTCCTATATTTAGATTCTCTGCACATGGTGTAGCTTTAAATGTTTAATCCACCTATTAATATGTAATGCACAAGAACTTTGGATTACAGTGAAAGCAGTTCTCAAGGGAAAGTTTATACTCCTAAACACTTTCATCAACACAAGAAAGAACAGATCAATGAATTAGGTATACCACCAAAAACAAAACAAAAGAAACAAAAAACAAACAGAAAACCCTGGGAAAGTAACAAAACAAAAGTCCCTAGCTAAACACCAAAATAGCAACCCAAAAAATCAAAGAAATAGTTAACAAAATTGAAAGCAGAAGAACCACTGAATTGACAGCTAAAATGAGATGGTTGTCTACGTATTTTTTAAAATGCTTCATCAGCTCTTCTTTTTCTTTTGAACATCACTATCACTACCCTCTCCAAACTTGTTCGCTCCTTTTGCCTTTTGGAATATCGTATTCCAAGATTCTTTTGGAATGCAATATTTGATAAAATACACTCCCATCCACCTGACGCCCCAACACACACACATTCCTTCCCACAACTCTGTGCCTCGTTTAAATAAAACCCTGTCCTTATAACAAATACACAAAACAAAACAAACCCACGCAACGGTCCCGTTGTAAACTCTTGAGTCTCCACATCTCACCTCTGCCAAGAGGAGGTCCAGCTGGGACTACATTTCCCAGAATCCTTTAGAGATCCACTTTCCCAGAATCCGTTTGGGCTGAAGCCTCCAGAAGCGGAAACGGCGCGGCAGGTGCAGTCAGTCCTCTGTTGGTCCCTGAACGAGCTTCGTTCTGGAGGTAAAGTCCGTTCTGCATTCGCGGCGTGTCCGAGTGCATGTGTCACGAGGGGCCCCAGGGCAGTGGGGTTTGCCGGCCCTGGGGCGTGGAAGGGGTCAGGGAGAGCCCCTCGAAGCGTCCCTGCGGGAGACCACCGAGAACTGGACCATCCCCTGCCTTGCGGCCTCTGCGGGAACCGTGGTCCTGCGGGGGCCGGGGGCAGGGGCCGGGGGGCCGCGACCCTCCAGTCTTCGAGGCTTGATCGCCCTCTTGCCTCATCCTCTCGATAGTCAATAAACCTTGATTAAGCGCCTCATCTGTGCTGCCCTCGGGGAGTTTACAGTCCAGAGAGGGAGGCAAAAAGCAAACACCAGTGTACAAACAAGCCAATTTGGAATTCTTCCAGTCGGAAGCTAATTGGGCAAATTGGAAATAATTAACGGAGGGAAGGCACTAGAATTAAGAGGGGTTAGGGAAGGCTTCCTGTAGAAGATGGGATTTTAATTGGGACTTGATGGAAGCAAGGAGGTTGTAGAGGAGGGCATTCCAGGCCTGGGAGACAAGGATGCCCGGAGTGAGAAGATGGAGCTCCTTGTTTGAGGAAGAGCCGGGAGGCCGATGTAGCTGGATCCACGAGTACCTATTGGGGTGTGAGAAGACTGGAAGGGTGGGAAGAGGCTTTGAATGCCAGAGTATTTTGTATCTGATCCTGGAGGTGATAGGGAGCCACTGGAGTTTCTTGAGAGAGTGAGTGAGCGAGTGTGTGTGTGCTCGAGTGCTTTCACTGTAGTCCAAAGTTCTTGTATATTATATATTAATATGTGGATTTTTCTGCAAGTCGAAATTAAACAAACATTTAAAGGTACACCATGTGCAGAGAATCTAAATATAGGAAGATATAAAGTTTAGGTAAGACACGGTTCCTCATGGAACTCACAGTCTAGTAAGGGAGTTTCCAACCTTTTTTTGGGGGGCTGGGTCCCCTTGACTTTCAGTAAATTCTATAATCTGACATGATTGGATCTGATTTAGGAAGATCACTTTGCAGCTAAGTGGAAGATGGACTGGAGTAGAGAGAGAGAGACTTCTACATCCAGTGTGTTGCCAGGTTTTGGGTTTTTTTAAAATTCTTTTTGATTCTTTAGAAGGTACTCTCAATTTTGGCCTATTTTCCTTACTGTCAGAGCCAGGTTGGTATAATACATAGAGAATGGGGATTATGGAAGCAGGAAGATCAGGGTTCAAGTCCCATCTCTCTAACACATCCTGCTTGGCAAACCATCCTAACCTTTCTGTGCTCTAGGTAACTCAAGAAAATTATAAATTGCAGAGAAACTGCTAACCCACATTGGTAGAGGGCCTTTCCCTGTACCCATCCTTATCCTCTTCATTTATTCCCACTAGTCCTAGTCACACACCACTTTGAATGTATCTAGATCAGGGGCTCTTAACTTTGTGTGACGAACCCCTTTGGGAATTGGGTGAAGCTGTTGGACTTCCCAGAATGTTTTTAACTAATTGAAGGAAATTCTAAATTTCATTTAGAAGTTAGTGAAAATAAAGGTATAATTTTTCTCACATTCAAGTTTATGGATCCCCTGAAATCTATCCTCCAACACACAGTTTCTGTGGATACCAAGTGAAAAACCCCAGATCTAGATCACCTTGTTGGCCTCTAATCTCTCCCACTCTCAGCCCAACTAATATTTATAAATTCAATAGATTGAGGCCATACTGGAGCCTTACTGTTAACTTCAGCAGTAGTAGTGAAATCTGTGTTTTAGGAATATCAATTTTAGTTGATATCTATGTAGTTGATAGATTGGGCACTGGAGACACTAATTAGGAGGCTATTGCAATAGTCTAGATAGAGACTGTGTGAGTGATAAGAAAGGGATAGAAGAGAGAGGCGTTGAGGGCAAATTGAGATCCAGGGCAAATCTCAGAAGGGGTGGCAGTTAAAAGTAAGAAGCTGCCAAAGATCCTTGAAAGGAGAAAGCTCAGAAATAAACAGCAGCAGTATGACTCCAACCCCAGGAGCAGATCAGGGTCTTGTTTACAGCTCATAGCCCAGTCTGAAGCCTGCAAAGGAATAACAAGGGTAGAATCCCAAACCAAAGGGAAGCCTACAGATCTGTCATTTAGAACCAGAGCTTCCTAGCTGGCTAATAGTGGCTGTTGTTACTTAGACCCAAACTCTGGTCAGGAACTTGCAGAGCTCAGAACAGCAGAGCAGTGATCAGACTTTGCCCTGGGTCTGGTCTGATATTGGTCTGACTTTGGGAGCACCTGAAAGCTTGCAGATCCTCAGCCTGAGCTGCCCCTGGAATTCTGGGATAGCACAAGATTCGATACCTCAAGACTATCCAGACCCCCCAGACTCCCTCCCCCCAGAAGAGCAAAAGCCTGGCCCTAACATCAAGTCAGAAAATAGGCTGGAAGAATAAACAAACAAATAAACAAAATCTCACTGTGAAAAACTGTTATGGTAACAGGGGTGTTCAAGACACAAAACCAGAAGAAGAAAATGACTCCAAAATACCTTAAGCAAAGCCTCAAAAAACCCCAAAATAGCTTAGGTACAAATTCATTTTAGGAAGAGATGAAGCTAGACGTTAAAAAAGAGTTTTATGTTTTTGTCAATAAAATGAGAGCACTAGAGGAAAATATTGGAAAAGAAATGAGAGCAGTGGACAAAAAAAAGTAGAAAGGGAATTAACAAGAGATACAAAAACTTGGCCAAGCAACAAACTCCCTCAAAATTAGAATGGACTAAATAGAAGCTAATGAGACAAGAAAAAAAAATTTAAGTCAAAAGGCTGAAAAAATTTAAGAATCATTAGACTATGTATGAATGCCATGACTGAAAAAATAAAAAAGAGCACAGATATCATACTTCAAGTAATCTTAAAAGAAAACTGCCCCCATCTCTTGGAACCAGAGGACAAAATGGAAATAGCAAAAAAGAAAAAAAAATCTACTAGTCACCTCACAAAAGAAACTATCAAAACCAAGAGCTTTCAGGTCAAAGGAGAAAAAATTCTGTAAGCATCCAGAAAGAAGGAATTGAGGTATTGAGGAGCCATAGCTGGGATCACACATGATTTAGCAGCCACACTATAAAGGAGTGGAGAACTTTGAATATTGTATGCCATAAAAAATAAACAGGAATTAAATAGTGTTACAAGACTAAACAAGGATAAATTGTTTACATTCCAATATGAGAAGATGGTAAATATGTTTTCTCTGAACCCTATCATCATGGGGAGTTATAAAAGGAGTTCAGTTAGTCTAATTGGAGTGGTTCTGTTATGTCTTGATGGTTTTAAGAAAAGAATGAAAAGAAAGAGGAAAAGGAATATGCTTGGGGCAAGGGAAAAGAAAGGTAGGGAAAATTAATCTCATATAAACAGGGTGCTCACGTAGACATCTGTACAAACAAAGAGTGGGGAGCAGCTGACACTTGAACCTCATTTACTTGAACTGGACAAAAGAGGGAAGAACATACACACGGAGGTGGGTACAGAAATACATTTCACTCAATAAGGAGTTAGGAGGGAAAGGGGAAAAGGAAGAATAGTAAAGACAAACAACTTTGAAAGAATTAGGAACTCTAACAAGCACAACAATTAACCACAATTCCAGAGGACTAATGATGAAACTACCTTTCTCATAATAGAGAGTTGAAGGACTCAATCCAGAATGAGACATATTTTTTAGACATGGTCAGTGCAGAAATTTGTTTTGCCTGGCTATGCATGTTTGTAATGGGGCTTGTTTTTCTTTTCAGTTGGGGTGGGAGGAAAGAGTTGAGGTGGGAAGGATTTTTGCTGATTAAAAAAAGCAAAATATAATTAAAAATAGAAATGGGCAAATTTGGAGGGTGGATTGGTTTGGGGAAAGATGAGTTCCATTTTGGACATGTTGATTTTGAAATGTCTATGGGACATCCAAGTGAATAAGTCTTCTAAACAATTGTGTGTTTGGAAGCTTAGGCCAGGAGATAAATACATAGATAGGTTATCTACAAAGAGAGGATAATCTAATCCACAGAACTTGTTGAGAGCTTCTGAGGCCAGGAGATAAATACATAGATAGGTTGTCTACAAAGAGATGATGATCTAATCCGTGGAATTTGTTGAGATCACTGAAAGTGCATAAAGAAAAAAGAGGACTCAGGACCAAGTCCTTGATACAACTCTAGGATGAGGAAGATGATCCAGCAAAGGAAACTGAGAAGTGGTAGTCAGTCAAGTTGTAGGAGAACCAAGAATGAATAGTATCACAGAAGGAGAGTATCTAGGAAGGGGTAATGAAATATAACAAAAACTGCACAGAGATCAAAAAGGATGAGGAATGAAGAAAGGCCATTGCATTTAGCAATTAGAGTAACAGATTATTAGTAACCTTGGAGAGGGCAGTTACAGTCAGTAGGTGGGACTGAAAGCAAGATTGCAAGAGATTGAGAAATTAGTGGTAGTGAGGTAATGAAGAAAACCATTCCTAGAAGTTTGGCTGTGAAGGAGAAAAAAGATACAGAATTATAGTTTGAGAGAATAGCAAGGTCAAGTGAAGGTTTTTTAAGGATGCCAGGGAGACCCAGGCATATTTTTAGGGGTCACAGAAGGAGTTAGTGAACAAGGAAAGACTGAAGATGAAAGAGATAATGATGAGGGGGTACAAGTTCTCAGAGGACACAAGAAGGGGTGAGTACCAAGAACACAAGTGGAGGGGTTAGCTTTGGCAAGGAGAAGCCTCACCTTTTCTGTAGAGATTGAAGCGAAGAAAGATAAGAATGGGGGAATGATGAAGAGGAATTTTAAGGTATAGAGGTGGGAGAAGAAGAAAGTGCAGACCTCTTTTGTCAGTAAAGTAGGAGGTGAGGTCCTATGCTGAGAGAGAGTTGACAGGAAATAACTTAGAAGATCTGAGGAGAAATTTGGAATAGCCAATGTAGAGTGTGGTAGAGAATCAGTCAGATAAGAGTAAAAGAATTCCTGGGCAGCAGTGAGTGAGGGACAAATTGAGATTAGATAGCACAAATAGGTAATGAACTCACTCAGCAGGTTGCCTGACTTGCTCCAGGATCCTTCAGCAGCTCACAAGTATAATCAGAGAAGGCAGTGAAAGGAGTAACTCCAGTTTGGCATTTAACAAGGTGTGATTAGGAATAAAACAACGAACTTTGGTGGAAATTTTGACCTAAATATTTGAAGACAGGTGCAAGGGATCAAAAAGTTTAAGAGTTGAGGGGAAAAAACACTCTTATCCTAGTTAGGACTATCCCCTTTGTCCTCTTAAGCTATCAAGATAGAATTGCAGTATCACACATCCTTTACCTCAGGGGTTCTTAGCCTGACGGCCATGAACCATGTATGTGGGACATGACAGAGCACTTTGTAAGAATTGTCAAACCTGATGACCACTACCCCCACTTTTGGTGATTCATATGGGAATAAATGAAAATATACCATCCTCTCTCCCTCACCCTCTCAACTGAGAATTTCTCCTCATGTTGTACTAAAAAAAAATAGAAGTGGTTCATCATGTATTTCCTCTTCTCTGCTTCTCTACATCTCAAAATACCTTCACATCATCCCACATTCTCTTTTTCTTTGTTTCAATCTATCATGAAGGAATGGCCCTATTTAATAAGACCAATGTGTTAATTCTGGTTACACATCTCCCTCTGCCTATTGGAAATTTCCATCTAGATATACCAGAGACATCTCAAGCTTAACATGTCTGAAACTCAAATATTTTTCCTCCCAAACTCTATATATGTATCCTTGATTCTGTCCTCTCTGAACCTCTCTGGCAGATGGGCCTTGCAATCATCCCATTTCTCTCTCTGATCTTTAGTCTATTCCTATTTATTCCTATTTATTAGCTCCTTCCCTGCCTGCAAACCTACCTTGATCTCTTCTCCCCCCCAAATCTCACTAGACCTTACCATCTCCCAAACTATTATTGTCTTATATCTCTTTACAATCAAGCTCCTCTTACCTTTACTTCCTGTGCTTTTACTCACTTAACCCTTTGCAATTTGTCTTCTGACTTCAATGGGAATAACTCTTTCTAAGATTGCTCGTGATCTCTTAATTGTTCACATTAATGATCTGTTCTCAGTTTCCATCCTTCTTAACCTTTACAGTATATTTGGCACTGTTCTCCCCTCTGTGCTCTTTTGTGACGCTGTTCTTTGTTAATATTCCTTCTACCTGTCTGGCTTCCTTAGTTGCCTTTGCTGGTTCCTCATCCATATTGTGCCTCTTAACTGGGTATTCCCCTAGGCTATCTTGGGCCTTTTAAAATTTTCTTCACATTCTTACCAAGTGACCTTGTAAACTTCTGTGAGTTTAATGATAACTTATATGTATATACATATGTATACACACACACACACACATGTGACTCCCAAATCTATATCTAGTCCTAGTCTCTCCTGAGTTTCAGTTGCACATTTCCATTTGCCTGTGAGACATTTCCAACTGGATATCCCATAAGCATCTCAAAATCAGTATGTCTAAAATTGAACTCGTTATGTTTTGTCCCTAACCCATCCCTCTTCAGATCTTCCCCTGTTTCTCTAAAGGACATCAGGTATCCTTCTAGTGAGGTTTGCAACCTTGATGTTAGCTTTGAATGCTCACTCCCCATCTCCATTCATTTGCCAGATCATGTTATTCCTTCCCCCACATCACTTTCATCATTTCCCTTCTCTCCACTCATTTAGGCCTTCATTACCTCTTGCCTGGACTGTTGCAGTACCCTACTAATTTGCTCCTTGCTTGAGGGTTTTCCTCTCTCGACTCCCTCTTCCTCATAACTGCCAAAGGGATTTTTCCAAAGTGCAGAGCTAAGATGCAGAAGAAACTCCCACCCCACCCATTTGCAGTGGTGGAAGGTCCACAAGTATTTCATGTATTTTCAGACTTTTGATGTCTTGGTTATTGTATAGGTCAGTTACACTAATTTTTCTCCTTTTTTTTTTTAAAAAAAAAGAATATTTGTTATAGGGGGAAGCTTTTTAGGAGTGACAGGGGAAGGATACTAAAGGAAACTATAGTAATATACAAAACAAAAGACATTGATAAAAACTTACTTAAAAAAAGAAATGTAGAGAAAAAAATCCAAGCTACATGTAGTGCAGAATTGTTTATGTTTAGCTTGAAGGAGAGAAGACTTAAGAAGAGATATGGAACACTCTTATATGGAAAAGGATTAGACTCATTCTGTTTGGAGAGGCCAAGGAACAATGGGGTGGGAGTTGTGAAGAGGCAGATTTAGTCTTGATGTAAAGGGAAAAAACCCCCAATGATTAGAGCTATCCAGAAATAGAATGGGCTGCTTGGAGAGAGAGAACAAGTTCTCCCTTACTAGTTCTCACAAGCTGTGTGATTACTTGTCAAGTATGTTTTTTGTTTTTGTTTTTGTTTTTTGCTTTTAGGCAATTGGGGTTAAGTGACTTGCCCAGGGTCACACAGCTAGTAAGTGTCAAGTGTTTGGTCTGAGGCTGGATTTGAACTCAGGTCCTCCTAACTTCAGGGCCAGTGATCTATCCACTGCACCACCAAACTGCCCCTAGATATGTTGTTGAAGGGAATTTTTGTTCAAGTTCAAACTGGATTGGATGCCCTCTGAGATTCTTTTCCAACTCTGAGATTCAATGTTTCTCTGACATGAGGTATTAGTGAAAGTAATGAAACAAATTTTGGTGAGTGCTTTCTGTAATCACTCCTATTGCTTTTTAGTAACATTTATAGATAACAAGAAGCTAAATGATTTGCCTTTGGATGCATAGATAATCACTGGCATAGCTACTCAGTTTCCTCTCTGATTCTAATGTCATGTGTCCATGTGGCCACTTTGAAAATCAAACTCATGATTCTTTACATCAGGGAACAGGAAAGAGAATGAGAATTACTTTCCCTCAGTTAAAGGAGGTTAGTGGCACAGAGATATTGAGGTCTGTGTTCCAAATCATATAGCCAGTTGATAATCTCAATTCAGGGCATGTTTCCTGTCTCAGAAACAGAACCTCTGTTCTTTGTAATGTTCCACAAGCATCGGAACATGAAGGTGTCAGGTTGTAATGTCCTTGATTCTTGTCTTTTACCCAAGGAAAGGGCAGGGAAACTATGTCTGGGTTCATTCTAACCTACCTCTGTGTGATGTGAAGGAGTTGGGAGAATCACACCAAATTGTTATGATAGAGTTTTACCCTGTTGGGTCTGGGAATTGCAAGACAAGACCAGACTTCCTCATATCCTCTTTTTCTTCCCCTAGCCTGGCATTCTCTGGATTTTACCTTTCTCCAAGAGGGGAACACAGAAGAAGAAATGGCTTCTGTGTCACTGGCAGCCAGATCCCAGGTGAATCGATCTTTCCTGAAATGTAGTCACAATTTCTAGAGTGTGCTTCCTTTTTCTACCCTCATCATGAAGCTTCTCTGCCCAGCTCTATCCTATCCAGGAACAAGAACCCCCAATTCTTCATCCCTAGGAAACTGGCCCCATCTTGGTAAATGATGGACCATAAGGATGTTTCCTCATCTAATGCCTTCCCTCACTGTGGCTCAGGATAGGCACAGTAACTTGGAGACAAGATGCTTTCTGCCTTATTCCTTATTCCGCAGTGCACTGTACTGAAAGCCTTTAACATTATCAGACCTACCTCCTATCTATCCCATCTGTCTCTTTTAAGTGCTTTTTATCAGTTCCTTTTCCCCAGGAGTGTGGAGTCCATGGGTGAACAAGAATGTATTTGTTTCAGGAATCAGTTACATTCAAGGATGTGGCTGTGAACTTCACCCAGGAAGAGTGGGGGCAACTGAACCCTGCACAGAGGGAGTTGTACAGAGATGTGATGTTGGAGAACTATAGAAACCTTATCTCACTGGGTAAGGATAACTCCTTCTTCTGAACTCAGGTTCAGAATCATAGGGAGGGGCCACCACCTTGACAGCTCTACAGGTACAGGTTTTTCAGAGGAAATTGCTAAGAGCTGTGTAGCTTTTCAGTTGCTTGTCTGAATTTTGCTTTGTGATTCAGGTCAGAGATTTCTAATTCTTTTTGAAGTTCTACTGTGAATAGAGTTGAAAATAAGTGATTTTATTTGTTACCCATCCCCTTGCCCCAAGTTGTTACTTTCCTGTCCTCTGTTCTCAGGGGCTCTGGAAATAAGCCTTGAGCCTCCTTCAGAAACCTATTCATTTCCTGGCTTGCTGTCCTGTCCTAACCCAGTAGGATGGTAGCATGTTATAGTGGAAAGAGGGAGAAGTCAGAAGAAAGTGGATTCATCCCAGCCAGCTCTTTCACTTATTAGCCCGGTGATCTTGAGAACATAAGTGACTTTGCTTAAGCATCTGTTTCCTCATGTGGAAAATGATACTGTACTAGATGATATAGTAATTTTCACATTATATAAATATGTTTCCCTTCTCTTTGCAGAAAAAGGGCTGGGATTGACTTCTGTGACAGTTCTGTGTTTCCAAGACAAACTGCTAAGTCTCATTCCCTTTTCTGTAAACAGGACTTCCAATTTCCAAACCTGATGTGATCTTTCAGTTGGAGCAAGGACAAGAGCCTTGGATGCTTGATGTGCAAGGAACTGAAGGGGGAGGGGTCCCAAGAAATACCTCTTTGGGTGAGTAAAAGAGAGAGTGCTGGTGACTTAATGGATATTAGTTAATGCGTTTAGTGAGGAAGTGTTCTCAGTGACCCTAAGGCCTGCTGAAATTGTTGTTGCCATGGACCCAATCAGGGATGCATTGTTCCATCTTACATCGGTGGGTATGGAAAATCTGTTTTTCTTTAATCGTGTTGCTTCTGATTCCCTTCTCATTTCTTAGCTGCATACTCTTTAACTCTACACATTATCTAGAGATCATCCTTCATTACTCCCTGAAAGGGTAACTATCCAAATCCCATCCTAAACCTTATGTATTCCTTGTTTTTCCCACTCATTAGTATCCCCTACTTTTAAGGATGCTGAGAGTAATGTTAACCCTATTCCTAAATAAGCTCAATCATATTTTTTGCTTACCTTGCTGACTACTTTCCTTTCTCCCTCCTTCTTTGTTCTTTACACTACTCCAGTTCTTTAATTTCAATACTGTTGATACTTGCCCAGTAATGTGGATGATTCAGTAGGCATTTTTAGCATCAATATCCATATTCTGCTAGATCATTTTCCTTTTAAACAGTACAGAGAATATCTTGATTTATATTATTTATTATTACCGTGTTAATTTATATTATTTTCTCTTAGTTTCAGGCTGGGAGAAAAAGTCAGTTCCAAAGCAGAACATTTCAGAAGAAATAAAATCACCAGAGATATTAACAGAAAGATCCACAAGTGAAGTTACTGTACCTGAGGTTAGATTGGAGAAGAAAAGAGAAAAGTCTGAAGAGAAGACATTGGAAAAATCACTTTCACAAGAGAGAAGTTTCAAGAAACTTTTAATCAATGCCTCCAAAAATTCCAGTAAGGAGAGAGGCTCTGAATGTAATATGTGTGGGAAAACCTTCAGACATATAAGTAGCCTTCGGAGACATCAGATTACTCACACAGGAGAAAGACCCTATGAATGTAATGAATGTGGGAAAGCTTTCTTTGACTGTTCATCCCTTACTATACATGAAAGAATTCATACTGGAGAGAAGCCCTATGAATGTGAGGAATGTGGGAAAGCCTTCTTTGACCGCTCACATCTTAATCGACATCAGAGAATTCATACTGGGGAAAAGCCCTATGAATGTGATCAGTGTGGCAAAGCCTTCTTTGACCGCTCATCTCTTACTCAACATCAGAAAATTCATAGTAAAGAGAAGCCATATGAATGCAGTGAATGTGGGAAAACCTTCATACAAAAAAGGAATCTTAAACGACATCAGATAACTCATACTGGAGAAAAACCGTATGAATGTGGTGTATGTGGAAAGATTTTCAGTCATAAGTCATCTGTAATCCAACATCAGCGACGTTATGCCAAAGAATAACCCTGGGAATATCATGAATTTTGGGAAACTTCAGCCAAACTTGTCACTTTATTAAATGCACAAGAACTTAGGTATGAAGAGAGACTACATAAAAACTTATTAATCTCCCTTATGTTAAATAAACCTGTTGTTCAAACTTACTACCTTTTCTGCTTGCTATTTAATTTTTCTTCCTTCTTTTGATGCCAAGCAAAAGAGCAAGTGGTCTGTGGGTAGTATGTCATGAGCCTGGTGTCAAATACTAAGTATAAAATGACCTGAAAACCTTTCCCGAAAATGGACTTTCCTTGGCCTTGTTGGGTCTCAATCTGAGAGGGACGCAGATACTGAAGAGGCAACTTAAAAGTCTTCTTATCCTCCTAAAGCATATGTCTTCCTTGGCAAGATGTCCAGGTAGGTCAAGTTTTCCTAGTGAATAATTCACCCTAATTCTAAGGTTGGGATGGTTTGGGGCCAGCTTGACATCTCATACAAGGCTGACTCAATCAACAAACATCGATTGAGGTCTTACTATGTCGTAGGCACTGTGCTAAACCCTGCAAATACCAAGAACAGCCCAAACAATCTTTGTCCTCTAGGAGCTTACATTCTGAGGGAGACATTATAGGTACACGCGTGGTAGAGAAAGTAGAGAAGGCACTAGAAGCTTGGGAGAATCAGGAAAGGCCTCCTGAAGGTGAGATTCAAACAGTCTTGAAAGAATCTAGGGGAAAAAAAAAGAATCTAGGGAAATAAGGAGGCAGGGTTTGGGGGGCAGGGGAGGTGTAAAGCATTCCAGGCATGGGGGCAGTTATTGCAAAAGCCCAGGCTAGGAGAGAGCAGATAGGTCAGCGTAGCTGGTGCATAGAGGGGAGTAAAGTGTAGGAAGACTGGAACAGTAAGTAGGGGCCAGGTTATGAAAAGCTTTAAATACCAGAGGACTTATGTTTTATTTGGATGTAGAGAACAGGGAATTGACGTGGTTAGACCTATGCTTGAGAAAATTCAACTTTGACAACAGAGTGGAAGATGGATTAGAGTGAATGTTGATTATGTGGTATTTTTCTTTTTTTTAATTTTGTTTTAGCCAATTGGGGTTAAGTGACTTGCCCAGGGTCACACAGCTAGTAAGTGTCAAATGTTTGGTCTGAGGCCGGATTTGAACTCAGGTCCTCCTGACTTCAGGGCCGGTGCTGTATCTACTGCACCACCTAGTTGCCCCTATGTGGTATTTTTCAATGGAATTCAGTAACATATAGCCCATCACTGAGTATAATGCTGCCCTGTCACTGCTTGTGGGGGCTCTAGGTATTAAAAAAGGCTGATAATTTTCACTTTAGGTAGGAGCTCATTTGAGACTAAAAGATTAAGGTTGCCTCTGATTCCCTTCTACTTGTGTCAGCCACCAGGTTTCCTGCCACCAGGATCAAGTCCCATTTCCTTGACCTAGCATTCGAGGCTCCCCACAATGTGGCTCTGCCCTGTTGAGCCAGCCCACTTCTTACTTTTCTTCTTCATGAATTCACTTGGGGCAGGGCTACCAACTGTGTTTCCCACTTCTAAACCTGATGTGATTTTCCTATAGGAGTAAAAGGAAGAGACATGAGTGCATGGTATAAAGAGAGAGGTCCCGGGAAATACTACTTCAGGTAAACAAGGAAGTGAATGAGAGCAAATCAGACAGACGGGGAGTGACTGGAAAGAACGACTCACAGTGGTTGAGTTAGAGGGAATTCTTAGCTCCAGGACACGTACCCCCAGGCAGATGTGCTGCCTTAGCTCCAGGCAGGCAAACTCTTCTTTTCAGACAAGTGGGGAAGGGTGGTCACTTTTTCCTCAATTGGGATTCTTCTACTTCTCTTGTCATATATAATATCTACCTTCCACCAGCTGTTCTCGCCATTCCTCTTTCTTTCCTTATTCCTTGATTGTTCGTTTTTCCTAGATCTCATCTTCTCTCTGATTTATTTTTTGGTATTCCTGTTCATCAGCCTTGTGCTCTACTTGATCTTATTATCCCTACCAAGCTCTTAATAGGCTATCTCATATTCTTCATTTAAGTTATTTATTGGGCTAGCCACATTCCCCTTACTTCTGTCCCCTGCTCACCTCTTTGCTCCCACTTCCACCTCTCCCCAGTTTACAGATTAGTCTGCTTTTGGAAGTTGCCAATACCATTGATCCCCAGTAGACATTAAATTTCCTTATCATTTTTCTACTTGTAGTATTTGTCAACTTTTGGCTTTTCCAGATCTTATTCTAATCTCTCCCTCTAGTAGGAGCCGCACTATCATGCACAATTGTGGTTGCTGCTCTCTTCAGCAGCCATGCCAGGGATGTGGACGGAGGCTTCATCCTCCATATATGAGGAAGAGTACACCATATCCTTTCCCGTCTACCCCTGCCCCCTCATTATTGTTTTGCTTTCCTCCTTGGTGTACCCTGGACACAAGCTTCATTGGCAACTAGGCTGTGCTAGTCCTGTAAGGGAAGTGGGTAAGATGTTGGGCTTCCCTGCCACCTGAGGCATAGAAGGCCTAAGCTTGAGGGAATTTGGCATCAGAGATTTCATCAGAGCTCTTGCTCACCACGACCAGTTGTGGTGACCCTGGAGTCTTGAGGAAGTAGTGTAGAGTTCACATACCTAAATAATCTAGCTGAATATGGATGACTCATCTGTTGGGGATGTGGGGAAAGGGACTCATGGATTGGGCAAGAGGTTAAACTAGATAACCTCTAAGTTTCCTTTAAACTTTAAGACTACATGATTTTACGAAAACTAAAATTTTATGAAATATTTTTGGTTCTAAATCTATTTGCAGTATTCTTAATTGCTGTTTCAGTGGAAATACCAGAACTGCAGTTTAATTTTTTGCCATTTTATTTTTAATTTCATGTTGATCTTAGCACTGGGAAAACCAAATCAGAACCTAGAACAGTATCAGATTCAGTGTTGCTTTGGCAAACTAGATGAACTGTGTCATATCTTTTTTCTTTCAAAGATTCTAGAATCTGGATCTGTCCCCCTGAGTGACTCCTGATCTTACAAATTAATAATGTCAAGATGTAAAGTATGGCCACGATAATATAAAACGGACAGGCACCACTACAGACCAAACTGTGGGGCTGCTGTGGAGAGGAGGAAGTAACGTGGATGAAAGACTCAGTGTGTGAGCCCGCTCCCGTTAGGCAGCTGTGTGGGGCTAGAATCAAACATGCTGACACAGGTCAGGGATTGACATCTGCTCGATCCTACTGCAGAAATCTTCAAAGTCATTAGAAATTATTAAGGTACTTTTAACAGGATGGTAACATAAACATTAAAAAAAACAAAATGAAACAAACAACCTTGAGGTTTTAACCATAATAGTCCCATGAATTCAAAAGAACTCTTAAGTTGTTGTTTAGTGATTTTAGTTGTATCTGACTCTTTGTGACCCTTTTTGGGTTTTTTTTTGGCAAAGATACTGGAGTGGTTTGCCATTTCCTTCTCCAGCTCATTTTACAGATGAGGAACTGAGGCAAACAGGTTTAAGTGACTTGGCCAGGGTCATAGCTAGTGAGTGTCTGAGGCTGGATTTGAACTCAGGTCTTTCTGACATCAAGCTCTATCCACTGTGCCACCTAACTGCCCTAGTAGTTATGGTAATATTAAATTCTGACTATACCAAGAACCAAAAACAAAAAATTCCTACTAATAGGAATACTTAAAAAAAAATAATCAGGTCATGTGTGCGTACTTAAGTGTTGTTTTTTAAGTTAAAAAACATTTCTTTGTAAACAAGGAAATAAAATGTATTAAATTATTACCCAAGCTGGACTTCTTACACTTTCTTACCTTCCCCACCCCATATCCAATCTGTTGTTAAGTCCTATCAATTTGATCTTGGAAATGTCTCTTGTACGTATATGCGCCCCCTTTCTCTATTCTAACAATGTCACAAGTCTAGTCAATCAGTCAACCTACCACGTGCCAGGCACTGTGCTAAGCACTGGGGATACAAAAAGAGGCAAAAGCCCTCAAAGAGCTTATATTCTAATGGGAGAGATAACATGCGAACAAGTATATACAAAGCAAGCTAGGAAATAGTTAATAGAAGGAAGGCACTAGAATCAAGCATGGTTGGGGATGGCTTCCAGTAAGAGGTGAAATTTTAGCTGAGATGTAAAGGAAGTCAGGAAGGTCAATAGTCAGAACCTAAGAGGAAGAGCATTTTGGGCATGGGGAACATCCAGAGAAAATACCTTGAGTCTGGAGGGAGTGTCTTGTTCGTAGTCAGTTGTCACTGGATCAAAGAGTATGTTTTGGAGAGTAGGACGTAAGAAGACTGGAAAGGTAGGAAAAAGGTTTTATGAGGGTCTTGGAATGCCAAGCAGAGCTCTCATCACCTGATGCCTGGACTGTTGTAGTAGCCTGCTGGTTAATCTTGCTACCTGAAGTCTCTTCCCACTCCAGTCCATCCTCCACTCCGCTACCAAAGTGCAAGTCTGACTGCGCCACCTTCCTCTATTCAGTAAACTCCTGTGGTTCTCTATTACCTTTGGGACCAAATATATAATTTTCTGTTTGGCTTTTAAAGCCCTTTAAAATCTGGCCCTTCCCAATCTTCTTATACTTTATTCTCCATGTACCCTGCAATCCAGTGACACTGAACTTTTCCTATGCATTTTCACTGGCTCATGCCTAGAATGTTCACTCATTGTCTCCAACTTTTGGCTTTCTTTGCATCTCATCTCAAATTCCATCTTTTCCAAGAAGCCTTTCCTAGAGTCCCTAGATGCCAGCGTCCTCCCTCTGAGATTATATCCAAGTTATCCTGTATATATTTTGTTTATACATAGTATTTTGCATATTGTCTCTCCTATTACATTGTGAGTTCTTTGAGACAGACTATCTTTGATTTTCTTTGTATCATCTGCTCTTAGTATAATGCATGGCATTAAGTGTTGAAGTTTGTTGACGACATACAATTTTTGATGGGAAAATTTTTTAAATGGGCTACTGAGTAAGAGTAAGTTACATAGTCAAATTTTGGAATGCAGCACCTAAAGTTTTTGGCAGCCCTAGACATTTGAGACTGGGAAATCTCGATGTTCCATTTACGTTTTACTTTAGCATCTCATACCAATTAAAATATATTCATTACAGAAGATTGTGCTCAAAAAATGTTAAGATATTGCAGGGCCTTCAATAGATACAGCTGTGTTTCTGTGACTTGTCACGCAAACACACACTATTCTCCTTAGGAGTGATATCTCATTAACCATCCGCGCCCTCCTGCTTCGTCCCAACCTCAATGCAACCGCGCCGACAGAAAGAGGACTACATTTCCCAGAATTCATAGAGCCACATCGCCTCCCATTCAGACTCAATTTCCTAGAATCCATGGGGTGGAGCGCCGCGGAGCCCTCCGGGAAATGGAGTCTGGGGGTGGAATTCGCAGCGGCTTGAGATGGTAATGGGTGCGCAGGCGTAGTAGCGTGTTGGAACCGAAGTGTAGGACTTTGGACCATCCTTGGTCTAGAGGTAAAGGCCGTTCTGTCGGCGCGCGCTTGCGTAGGTGTGGGAGATTGAGATTGTGTCACGAGAGGCCTGTGGGGAGCTGGGGGCGCGGACCCCCACGGCGGGGACGGGGGTGGGGTGGGGAGCGGCGGAGAGCCGGGGTTCCACTCTCTCCTCCCAGGCAGCACCCCGGCTGGGACCTCTCTCGTGTCCTCTCTCGTGAGTGTTCGTGTCCTTTCGTGGGTCATCGTGGGTGGCGCCGAGCGTGCAGGTGTTAGTTCAGCTGCTGGGCTGGATGTCCCCGTGTGGGAAGCCTGGCACCCCCATCCTCCGGGCTTCTAGGCGTTTATTACGCGTCTCCTGATTGCAGGGACCCGTGCCAGGCGCTGGGGAGTCAAAGACCGAGGGGTTCAGGCTCGTCCCCCGGGGCTCCTGCCCCTCTCTTTTCGGTCTCCGGATCCAGGGCTGGGTCGGGGGCTCCTTGGACGAAATGAAATACATAGAATTGCAAAAGAAACCAATTAATAAAGTTGTAGTGGGTTTTCCCCCTTCCAAGTTAATGGAACCCCTGGTTCAGAAGGGGCTCTCAGGGGTGACCTTCACATTCCCACTGCTTCCACCCCAGTCCAGACCTTCATCACTCCTCTGTCCGGCTGGTCTAACTGGCCCCATTTTATCCTACTCTCGGCCCAGGGTACCTTAAATGTAATTTATCACTCTAACTCAAGGGGGAGTGGGCTGGTTTGGTTCTTACTGCTCGCCCCAGTGAGGTAAGGTAGAAAGAGCTCTGAACTCGGACCCCCGGTTTGTGCCGCGACACCAACTGGCCATGCGACCTCGGGCAGGTCTCGATAACCTCTCCAGACTTCAGTAGTCCTTGTAAACGAGTATTTACACAACCCCTAATTTCATGCCTTCGTTCAAAAAACATTTAATATCAAGTAAGATGTTTGTAAAGCATTTAGCACATGCCTGGCACATAATTGGTGTTTAATAAATGCTTGTTTCCTTCCCCTTGTTAACTGATAAATGCTGGGCACTGAGGATGCAAAGGTGAAAAAGAAAACCAGCCTTTCTCATCAAGGAGCTTATGAGGTCAATGTGATCATACGTTTAACTTGAGAATCCCAGTATCAACTTCCTCATGCTCCCCCTTTACACATGGACCACATTCATTTCAGTGGTTTTTGAACTTTGAACTCTGGTCTTTGGACTCTCTTTGGATCCACAGTTTGATTTGGCAGCCAAAACAGCTAATATTAGGTTGCATTAAGGGAGGAAGAATTCCTAGCAGTAGGAAGATGATGAGATTTGGTGGGGAGAGCACTCCAAAATCCTTCACGTCTACAGAAATGTCACCTGCTTTTATTAGGGAGGTGAAAATTCCACTGTCCCTGGTTAGTCTGGAGCATTCAGTTCTGGGCACCCCACCTTAGGAAGAACATAGATAAGTTTGGGGAGTGTCTAGCCAGAAGGCTACTGTGCCATATGAGGATTTGTTGCAGGGATAAGGTATATTTATCCTGGAGGAGGAAGGATTTATGAAGAACATATCTTCACATTATCTGAAGGACTGTCATGTTGAAAAAGGATTAGGGAAGGAAGAAACATTTATTAAGTGCCTACTATGTCCCAGGATTGTCAAGTGCTTCATAAGTATTATCTCATCTGATAAGGCTTTTTTGATTGGCCCATAGGGCCAAACTAGGAGCAGTAGGGTAAGAGTTGCAAAGAGTACAATAAAACTTCATAACAATTAAAATTAGCCAAATATAAAATGAGTTCCTTGGGAATTAATAGGCTCCCCCTCATTGACAGTCTTCATAAAGGCTAGATGACTATTTCTGGGTATATAGTATAGAGGAATGGGTATATAGTATAGAGGAAATTCTTGTTCACAAATGCATTTGACAAGATGGCCTTTGCCAGATTTTGTGAATCAATATATTCCTTATCTTTACTTCTCAAAATCCATCCTTCAAGCCTTAGCTCAAATTAACAATGATGAAGCCACTTCTTTTTTTCTGATGAAGCCTTCTTTCTTCCCTCTCATTTGTTCATTCTGTCTTCTTTCTGAAATCGTGGTGCATTTATGTATTTTTGTATATGTTGTATTCCTTAGGAGAATGTAAACTGCTTGAGGATAAGAATTGTCTTGTTTTTGTCTTTGGTTCTTCAGTGCATTGATCATATTAATCACTTAATAAATGTCTGTAGAATTGGTAACACAGTGGTAGATTTCAGTTCAATGAATGTAAAAATTGCCTAAATTTTAGATTTTACCATTCCTTTAATTAAAAAAAGTAAAGTGTTGTAGGAATTGAGTGAAACTCACCAACCTATAGTTTACAGATTCCATACTCTTTCCTTTTTTCCAAATTAATTAATCTATTTTTAGTTTTCAATATTCACTTCCACAAGATTTTGAGTTCCAGATTTTTTCCCCATCTCTCCCCTCCCCCCACCCCAGGATGGCATGCATTCTGAATACCCTTTCCCCTAATCTGCCCTCCCTTCTATCACCACCCTCTTCTCTTATCCCCTTCCTCTTCTATTTTCCTGTAGGGCAAGATAGATTTTTATACTCCATTGCTTGTATATCTTATTTCCCAGTTGCATGTAAAAACAATTTTTAACATTTGTTTTTAAAACTTCGGATTTCTTCCCTTTTTTTGAAAACCAGAACATTCGCTTACCTTCAAATCCCCTGTCCTCCTGTTACCAGTTTTCAAATGACATGAAGTTGAGTGCCCTCTTGCTGCTCTTCAAATCCCTCCTCCACAAGGCTTTTCTTCCTCTTCCCACTTGAGAGTGTGAATTTGTATCCCCTGAAAAAGGGACAGAAGGCATTCCACAAAGGAGTGGCATCAGAAAAACAGGGGGACCTACTGTTTACTGTCCTCATCATTTTGACTTTTATCACTGATTGTCAGTTATTGTTATCAGTTTATGTTTATATATTTTATGTCCCTAAGTAGGTTGTAAACTTTGGGAGAATAGGGACTGTGTTTTATGTTTTCTTGTATTGCAAGCCTATTTCTCTACTGATGGATTGACTACTCACCAGTCCTTGAAACTCCTCTTCTCTCCCCTAGTTTCTATGACACTGACTTTCCTGATTCCTCCCTGACCCTCTAAAGTTTCCTTCTCTGCCTCCTCTTCTTTCCACCATTAAATGTCAGTATTCCACCAGGCTCTACCTTCAGCCTTCTGTGCTTCACTTTCTGTATAACTGTTATGGGAAGAACACCCATTGTAAATGGCTTCAATTGTTATTTCTATGCTGATGACTCTCAAATCAACACCCCTAATTCTAAATTCTTTTCAAAGGATAGCTAGGCCTTTAATGGGGAGGGATGGAATGGAGAAAGAAGGACTGTTACTATTGTGAAGAAAGGCATAACCAAATCATGGAGTTGGATAGGAAGGACTGGCAAGAAGGAGAGAGGGCAGGACTGGAGATAAGAGATTTGAATGACATTCTTTACAGAGGTGATAGTCAAAGCCAAAGGAATAGATGATATATGGAAGGGGCCAATGGCAATATGAGAAGGCTGGATGTCATGTTTGTGGTACAAATAGAGCCCTAACTTCACTGTTTATATTGTGAACAGCACCATCTTGGAGTCACCCAGGCTTATAACCTCAGGGTTGTCCTTGAATTTCCCTTGCTCCCCCTATCCAACCGGTTACAAGGTCTTATTGATGCTATGTCCACAACATCTGTAGCATTTGGACCCTTCACACGGCCACTACCCTAATTCAGGACCTCGCCATCTCTTGCCCAGACTATGGCAATAGCTTCTGAATTGATTTTCCTGTCTCAGCTCTCTCCCATCTCCCATCCATTAACCACACAGCTGCCACAGTGATATTCCTTAAAGCACAAGTCTGATCATATCACCCCCCCCCCAAATAATCAATGGTTCTCTCTTACCTTTAGAATCAAATATAAATTCCTCTGATTGGTATCTCAAGTCCTTCACAAAGTGGCCTCAACCTACCTTTCCAACCTCATTATACTTTCCTGTGCTTTGAAGTCCAGCCAAATTGACCTTTAGTTAATCAACAAGCATTTATTAAATAAACATCTGCTATGTGCCAGGCACTGCCCTTGCTGCTCCTCACACATGTTTTCTCTCTCGTCTCTGCCTTTGCACATGCTATCTACCATGCTTGGAATGAACTGACTCTTTGCCCCAGCCTTTTAGAATCCCTTGAAGAATTCTTCAGATCTCAGCTTAAATGCTGCCTCCTGCATCTGATATTTTCTGATTTTTATTTTTTTTTTTGTCACAGCTGCTGGGGGCTTACCTCCCAAAATGACCTTAACTATTTTGTACATATTTGTTTATGTGTAGCTCTTGTCTCTCTCCCACCCCCCACCCCCACTAGAATATAAGTGCCTTGGGTACAGGGATGGTTTCTTTTTTAAAAAATTTGTATTTCCCATGTTTATTGGTGCTTAATAAATGCTTGTTGATGATGAATTGATATTTTGAAGGTTTAAATCCTGAGAGACACCAACCACAGTAGCAAAGAGTATCAGCAGGTCTCAACTGGAGTGGAAAGGCTGAAACATAGTTTTAATTGCTGGCCTTTGGCAGTCCATAGTCTTTGGGACCACACCAGGACGATCAGTGATGATCCTGGTCTCAGTGCTTGGCACAACATCCAGGTTCCATCAAGCTAGCACCACTCCAATGTTAATATGTGGGATAAATGGATCTGTAATAATCTCTATACCATGGCACTTCAATTATATTTCCAAAAGCCATTGGTTCTAAAGGAAGTCCATTCGTTGGGTATGCTATATGGGGGATTCTTTTTTTTTTTGTATGGGTTGGATTTGATGGCCATTAAAGTCCTTCTAACTCTCAAATTCTGTGATTTTGTGAAGTCAGCAAGTTCTTACTCAGATGCATCTGATAGGCTTCCTGTCTCTGATGTTACAGGCAGGAAAATGCAGGGTCTTGAGCTGCAAGGATCTGGCCAGACAAGCGTGGATTATGGAAGTTTTCAGAAAAGGGACCAGAGCAAAGTCAGCCTACTACAAATGGTTAGAGATCTTAAAAACCAAACCAAAAAAAACCTCAAACAAACCTAGAGAACTATGAAATTCTGAAGACAGAAGGAGAAAATGATACCGATTAGGAAGAAAAAGGGAAGCTGCTTGAAGAGCCCTATATGGATGCCAAGGGAATTAATCTACGAAGTCAGATTTTTAAAAGATATGTATAAAATATGGAAGCAAAATCAAGTAGTTAAGGATGATAACAAGAGTAGCATGGTCCCGGGAGAACTGTGGCAGGAACATGAAGTCCCAGAATGAAATGAGGCTGGCTAGAAAAGCTAAGAACAACACAAAGGATTTTCCCCCAGTAATGTTGGGGGCAAAAGGAAGATCAAAGAAGGGAAGGATGGAATAACAGACAACAGTGAGAAAGTTGGACTACTCAGCTCTTACTTTTCCCATTTTTCTTCCAAGGAGAACAGTCTTTGCCCTGGGAGCCAACAAAACGTGGTTCAAAGGGAATAAAAATCCATACCAAGTGATTCTCAGCATTGTAGATCTTTGGAAGATCTTGGAGAATTGGAGAAGAGCAAATATCTCAATTTTCAAAAAAGGGGAAAGGGTAGATTTTGCAAACTATAGAGTTTGATTCTGATTCCTGGCAAAAACTCTAGAATGTATTATTAAAGGAATAACATGAGAACACTTAGAAAGGGAAGCAGTGATCACTGAAATCTAGCATGGCTACAGCAGTTCTTAATCTCATTTCCTTTTCATCAGGATAACTTAGCCAGCATGGCATAATAGATAGGACCATCCTTAGGTTCAAATCCTGTTCAAATCCTGTTTCTGACACATACTAGCTATGTGACGTTGGACTAACCACTTGAATTACTGGAACATGTTTATATACCAGGCATTCTCTACACAGATGAAATTACAAGTGTATAACCCTATTCTTCACCCCACCAAAAAGAAAATGCTTGACTGGGGAATCACATAGCTATTTTGTATGCTGAAATCATAGCACAGCATCTAACAAAGTCTCATGCTGCAGTTGTGGATAAGATGGAGAGATGGGGGCTAGATGCTGGTAGAGTTACATGGATCTGGACCTGGCTGACTAGCCAAAGAGTAGTCTAATAGGCTAACATCATGTTATAAGAAGGTCTCTAATGAGGTACCTGTGATTTGTCCTTGGCCCTGAGCTAATTATATTTTTGCCAATAATTTGACTAAGGAATAACAGGCAAGTATGTTAAATTTCTGGATAACACAGATTTTAAAGGGATAGCTCATATGAGGGATGTTAGAGTCAGGAACCAAAAAGACCTTGAATACTTAGAACAGTGGGTCATATTGAATAAGACCATATTTAGTACAGACAAAATAAAGTTCTTCACTTGAGTTCCAAAAATCAACTGCTCATATGTAAGAAGGGGGCAGTGTATAACACCTTAAAGTGAAGAAGTGCTCGGGATTAAATGGGCTAAGCCCACTGGGTGCAGCAGCCTAAAATGCTGTCCTATGCAACATTAATAGTGACACAGTCCTCAAAATAGGCAAAGTCCCCAAAGAGGCAAAAATACCACCATCTGGTCAAGATATGTGAAGTTCTTCATTAAGTCCTAGGCACACAACTTAAGAAAGACATGAGCTGGAGTGTGTCTAGGAGGTCTGAGACCAAGGTACATGATAGGGAACTTCAGCCTTCTGGAAATCTGTGAGACAGGGACTGATGGAAGGAATTGAGGGGGACTTAACTTGGAGATGAAAAGTCTTTGGAGAGACATGAAAAACTGTTCTGTAGAATAGAAACTGGTTCTGCTAGAAGGAAGGACTCAGAGGAGTATATGGAGATTGAGAAGAAGTGGCCTTAGCCCCAGAGAAAAGAAGAGAAAAAAAGAAAAAGGAGGAGGAAAAAAAGCAGCATGGGCATCTAGGAGAGGTAGGATGGTTTCCTCTTACTAGAACCACAAGCCAGATGGCCACTTGTCAGGTGTGTACCAGGTAAAGGTTGGATGCAGTGGTTTCTAAGATTCTCTGATATGAAGCATTCCTCAGGAGAATATCAAGTATGATATTAATGAGTGGCCTATAGGAATATTCTCATTTTAAAACCATGTGTTTATTGTTAGCCCAATTTTACATATAGGTCACATACCTACATAGGCAGAGCCAAGTGTCCTGATTTCTAGTTCTGTGTTGTTCTTACTCTGCTATGCTAACTCTTTGATGCTTACATCATGTAGCCATGAGGCCGGTGGGAAAGTCAAAACATCTATTCTTTATATCTCATGTCAAACAGGGAAGAGAGTGGGAAATACTTTTCCTTGAAAGTGACTGAAAGGTTGAATCTTGTTACAAATCACATAGCCATGTGTCCTGACTCAGAAATAGAGCTCTTTCTCTTGCTGTGTATTGTAAGCATAGACATACAGTCAAAGTGCCAGGTATTAATATTCTTGACCCTTTTCTCTGATCTTGAGAGAGAGCAAGTCAGCCACATCTGTGCTCTTTCCAACTTCCGTCTTTATAGGGTATAGGAAAGGTAAGAAAGTCACACTCACCTGAGATTTCTGGCCTGGTGAGTTTCGGAGTAATAAGACAAGACCAGGCTCCCTCATGTCCTCTTTCTTTTTCCCCAGCCCTGCATTCTCCAGACTGCCATTATTTAACAGAGGAATCTAGAAGAAGAGGAAGAAGAAATGGCTCCCATATTCCTGACAGCCAGTTCCCAGGTGACTTGGACTTTCTTCTCTATTGAAATTCAATCCCATTTTTCCAGAGAGTATATATCTTTCCTTCCCTCATCAGGGATCTTCTCTATCCAGCTGTGGCCCATTCAGAGATCAGAGCCCCAGGTATTCATTCCTAGGAAACTGGGCCCACCTTAAGAAGTGTTCTCTGGTATGGTGCCCTCCCTTAGTGAAGCCCAGGGATGGGCACAATGACCTGGGGACAAGGTATTTCTACCCTGGGTCATATGCCTCTTATTCCACAGTACACAGGACTTGTTCTTTATCCTCATCAGAACCACTTGTATGTCTAAACCAGGGATGGAGAACCTGCGGCCTCAAGGCCACATATGACCCTCTAGGTCCTCAAGTGCTTTGACTGAATTCAGACTGCACAGAACAAATCCCCTTAATAAAAAGATTTATTCTGTAAAACTTGGACTCAGTCAGAAGGCTGCACCCAAGGACCTAGAAGGCCACATATGGTCTCAAATCCACAGGTTCCCTACCCCTGGTCTAAACTATCTACATACTTTTAAATTGACTCTCTTTCCCTAGGTGTGAAGGGTTCCCAAGTGAACCAGAATCTGTTTGTTTCAGGAATCAGTTACGTTTAAGGATGTGGCTGTGAACTTCACTCAAGAGGAATGGCAGCAACTGAACCCGGCTCAGAGGGACCTCTACAAGGATGTGATGCTGGAGAACTATAGAAACCTCATCTCACTGGGTAAGGATGGCTTCATCCCATGATTCAGAATCTGCCCTGCATTTTAAGAAAATACAGCTCTTCACTAAATGGAAGTAAATAAATTTAATTCAGTAAACATTCATTAAGTACCTGATGTATGCAAAGCACTTGGGATATCAAAGGCAGAAACAAAAAGCAGCCACTGCCTGGCATTTATATGCTACTAGGAGAATGAAGTACAGCACATGCACAAATAGGTAAATACCAGGTAATTTGAGGAGGGAGAGAACATTAACACCTGGGGGCATGAGGAAACACTCTATCCAGATGTGTAGATCTTAAGGATGAGAGTGTGTGAGGGTTTCTCTTTAGCACTTTGAGGATCAGTGAAGGTGTTGATCTATGGTTAATCTAGATCACAAGCCCTCTGGAGGTTCCTAGACCGTCTTCATGAGCTTCTGTGACCAACAGATTCAGTCTTCAGTCAACAAACTGGGGTTGGGGGCAGCTAGCTGGTACAGTGGATAAAGCACCAGCCCTGAAGTCAGGAGGACCTGAGTTCGAATGTGGCCTCAGACCAAACACTTGACACGTACTGGCTGTGTGACCCTGGGCAAGTCACTTAACCCCAGTTGCCTAAAAAAAAAGCCAAAAAAACCAAACTGGGGTTGAGGCTTTCTGAACTTAGCTAGCCCCATCCTTGACAACAACTTCTGAGTCTGTCAAGCAGGCCCCTCTTTGAAGCCTTTTTCAGTTGGGTACAAAACCTGTCAGAGTCCCTGCTCTACAGGCCTAGCCTTGGAGAACTCAGGATTAGCTCTGTGCCTCAGTGAAGCATGATAGGTCTTTAGTGGAGGAATATTAATAGATGTTTATAGAAAATGTTTTAAACTACATGACTGCTGTTTAACTGTGAAGGTGACTGGTCCTTTTGTTTGCACAAAGGCTAGGTAAAGTATAGGGTCCAGGAGAGGACAAGGATCTCAAAAGAAGCGAGTACTTCAAGAATGATAACAGAAGGATTAGGTACCCTATATGGTAGAAAAGGACAGCTAGGTAGTAGGATAGAACACCAGGCCTGGACTTAGGAAGACCTAAGTTCAAATCTGGTCTCTGATACTTAAGCTGTGTGACCCTGGGCAAACCACTTAACCTGTTGGCCTCAGTTTCCTTATCTATAAAATAAGCTGGAATAGAAAATGACAAACCACTTCAGTATCTTTGCAAAGAAAACCCCAAAATGGGGTAACAAAGTTGGACACTATTGAAACAACTAACAACAACAACATGGTAGGAAAAACACACAGATTTAGAAGTGGGTGCAAAGCTGGCAAGGAATCTAGACTTGGGAAGAGACACAGGTGAAATTTTAACATGGCATGTGTAGACATCAAGAATTCCCTCATGTACCTTAGGTGTGAACTGGATAGACACAGTGTGTAATGGAATATCCAAGGGACCTTACAGGGAAACTGCAGAAACTGTGTAATAGACTATGATGAGATCATATAGTAGAACAGATAGGATTTTCTGAGACCAGAGATATGGAGAAAAGATGAAAGTGGCTACTTACAGTTTATGGGAAAACCTGGACCCTAAATAGAAGAGAAGCTTCCTATTCTCAAAACCAAATAGAAGGGAAGGAGGGAGAAGGGCACACTAGAGAAAAGAAGTGTGACCAAGGTTTGGTCAGATGAAAACTAGACTAAAGAAAGTGTAAGCTAATGGTGCCTATAAAGGGGGAATAGTAAAACACCAGGCAAAAAGGGCACCAGGCGAGGTCCAGAGAGGAAGGAGGGGCTACCATTTCAACTGCTCTTTGGGTGGACTTACATTGTAAAAATTGGTAATGGCTGTGCAGCTCCTGACTTGGTTATCCTGAGTTTTGGCTTGTCATTCAGACCAGAGATTTCTATTCTTTTTTGGCCTTGGGGACCAGGTATTTCTATTTCTATTTATAAAATTAAAGTTTTTCAGTTTATAGAGTTGAAAATAGGTAGTTCATTGTACCCCACTAAAGCCCTAGAAACACAAGCCTGAGGCTTCTTCTTCTTCTTCTTCTTCTTCTTTTTTTTTTTTTTTTGGTCTAGGCAGTGGGGTTAAGTGACTTGCCCAGGGTCACACAGCTAGTAAGTGTCAAGTAAGTGTCTGAGGCCAGATTTGAACTTAAGTCCTCCTGACTCCAGGACTGGTGCTCTATCCACTGCACCACCTAGCTGCCCCGAGCCCGAGGCTTCTTCAAAAATTTTTGCTACTACTTTTGGATTTTCCTGTCATGTCCTGTAGGAAGCAATGTGTTGTAGGTCCTTCAAATTATCATGCAATATGGGTCTATATTTTCCTTGTCTTTCCTTGCAGAAAAAGGGCATAGGAGTGACTTTGGAGATAGATTCAAACTGTTCTGATCCATTCCCTTCTCTATAAACAGGGCTTCCCATTTCCAAACCTGATGTGATCTTCCAGTTGGAGCAAGGGGAAGAGCCTTGGATACTTGATTTGCAAGGAAGTGAAGAAAAAGCAGTACTAAGAAATACTTCTCTAGGTACGTAAGTTAAAGGGGGAAAGGGAAGGGAATAAGCATTTATATGAAGCCTACTATGTGCCAAGCATATTTTTCTACAAATATTTCACTTGATGCTTACAACAAGCCTGTGAAGTAGGTGCTTTTATTATCTTTATTTTACAGTTGAGGAAACTGAGGCAGACAGAGGTTAAATGACTAGCCAAGATCACACAGCTAGTAGGTGTCTGATGCTGAATTTGAACTCAGGTCTTCCTGTCTCCAAACCAATGTTATTACAACTGTGTCACCAGCTGCCTGTGAAAGATAACCAGACAGATGGGATTCAGTGGCAATAACAGCCCAGATGTTTAATGAGAGAGATCTCCTCAGCTACCCCAAGGATTGCTGAGATTGTTATTGTAAACGGACCCAGACAACAAAGCTTTGTTACATTTTGTGACCTGGGGGGGGGGTGGAGGAGAGTCTCTTTTTTTCCTCAAATGTTATTTCTGTGCTTCTCTTTTCATGTTGCCAGCCGCCAACTCTTTCCTTCTTTTCATTTTTTCCAAAGACCACCCTTTTTTACTCACTAAAATTGTATCTTCCCATATCCATCCTAATTCTTATGCTTTCCTTGATAGAATTTCTACTCATTACCTTCTACCTTCCTCTCCACTTAAAGATGACCACAACAATATGCTACCATATTCCTGGATGGGTTCTCTCATATTTTCTGCTCACACTGATTAGAGAGATAATAATCCTCTCCCCCTCCCCCTGCCCCCAGGCTTCCTAGTTCTTTCCTCTGCTCCTCTCTCCTCTCCTATTTCCTCAGCTTTCCATAGTTTATAAGACTGGTTTGGAGATGTACCTAATTACATGAATACCCAGTCCTCATTATTTTTGGTTTAATTCTCCTTTTGTTCCACTAGAGCATTTTATTTTCTTAACAGAAAGAGAATACTCTGTCCTTATCACAAATTACATTTGTATGTTCTCTTAGTTTCAGGCTGGGAGCATGTGCCTGAAATCCAGGAATCAATTCTAAAGCAGAACATTTCTGAAAAAGAAGGATCACCAGGCACATTAACAGAAGGAATAAGGGGAGAGATTTCTGTACCTGAAGACAGAGTGGAGAAGCAGAGGGAAAACTCTGAAGGGGAGACAAGAGAAAAACCACTTTCTCTTGAGAGAAGTTTCAAGAAAATATCAATAAATCCTACCAAAAAACACACTAAAGAGAGAAGCCATGAATGTAATCAGTGCAGGAAATCTTTTTTTGATCGTTCTTCCCTTAATCGACATCAGAGAACTCATACTGGAGAGAAGCCCTATGAATGTAAGGAATGTGGGAAAGCCTTCAGCCACAGCAGCAGTCTTAGGAGACATGAGATGACCCACACAGGACAAAGTCCCTATGAATGTAGCAAATGTAGGAAAGCTTTCTATGACCGTTCATCCCTTGCTGTACATGAGAGAATTCATACTGGAGAGAAGCCCTACAAATGTGATGAATGTGGGAAAGCCTTCTTTGACAGATCATCTCTCACTCGACATCAAAGGATTCATACTGGTGAGAGTCCCTATGAATGTAATGAATGTGGGAAAGCCTTCAGCCAAAAAAGCATACTTACTCGACATCAGCTAACACATACTGGAGAGAAGCCTTATGAGTGTAATGAATGTGAAAAAGCATTCTTTGGCCTCTCATCCCTTATTCGACATCAAAGGACTCATACTGGAGAGACTCCTTTTGAATGTAATGAATGTGGGAAAGCCTTTTTTGACCGCTCATCCCTTACTCAACATCAGAAAATTCATAGTAAAGAGAAGCCCTTTGAGTGTAATGAATGTGGGAAAGCCTTCAATCAAAAAAGTCACCTTAATCGACATCAGAGGACTCATACTGGAGAGAAACCCTATGAATGTAGTGTATGTGGAAAGGTTTTCAGTAGCAAGTCATCTGTTATCCAACATCAACGACGTTATGCCAAAGAGTAACCCTGGGAATATTATGAATTTGGGGAAAACTTCATTTATCCTTTCATGGGACAAGAAACCCTATTAAAATATTAAGATGGGGAGATAAATCTTAAATGTTTCTTAAATCTGCTATTTCTGGTTGCTATTCTATTTTTTCCCTTTCTTTTGCTTCCTAATTCCTTGAACAAATGGCCTATAGGTGCCATGTCATAAATTTAGAGTCAGGCATCTTAAAAGCAAAATATAGCTCTGGGAACACTACCAAAACCAGTCTTCCTTAGGTATTGCTAGGGTTCATCATAAAGGAAAAAAATGGAGGAGACACAGATACTGAAAGAAAATCCCAAATTCCTCATAGACATACATGTTCCCTTATCTGATCATATGTATTGGGCCCCTTACTAACAGATGGCTTAGTGCCCCAAGCCTGTGGAAGCCTCCACCTAAAGTAGAAAGCATCAGCCCTTTAAGAACCTAGAAACCCTAATAGCAGGACTATAAATACTTTCAGTCCATTGTGAAAAAGCACTCAGTCGACACACAAGCCTACTGGCTCTGCTTATGACTCCATTCTGCTCCACTTGGCAGCTTTCCTGGGATTTGCTCCTTAAGTCCTGACTTGGGTCTTCCTATGTCCTGATTCTTAGGATGCTAGTTTTACTTGGACTTTGGCCCTTCTAAACTTCAGTTATCATAAACTCTAGCTTTCAGACCTAATTTACTATTTCTGACCCACCATCTAAGAGCTTAAATCACTTTTGTTCCTAGCCCAATTAAGTGTGGGCTTCCCACTCTGACAAAGAAATGTGATACCAGGCTCACCATTCTCCCCTCTGACTAAACCTGCATATTGCCTCTACTTTCTCATTACCCATTGACTTCTTAACTCTTTATGCTCTACTGAATCTCTTCTCAAATGTTACCTGCAATTTTCTTCCATCTGAATCCAGTGGCCTATTTATTATTCAGTACCTACTGCCTCTCTACTCCACATGACACTTTTGACTGCTGCTTTGAAACCTTCCTCTGTTACCATAACAGGACAACTCATTTTCATGCCTTCCACCTTTAGTGAGACACTGCTCTTTTTTCTTTCTTGCTTATAACTAGTTTTTCTCTTGAGTCTGGCCCCTTGGTTTCATCTCTCCAAATATCTCCTTTAGGAGAAGCTACTTAATGATTTCAGTTACCACCACCATGTTTCTCATTCTCAATTCTTCACTGATGTTGGAATCCTGCCATAGAACACTGGAAGCCCTGAAAGTTAAGAGATTCGTTCATCTGGACAGGCAATCAGTCTAGCCAGTAAACCAGCATTCTTCCTCTTCTCCATTTGTTCTGTACATAGAGCTTCAGCAGCAACACCGTCAATCTTACTGAAAGCTGGGGGGGCAGGGACCAAAGTTTGAGTGTGTTTTCATGCAGTTACACGTGGGTTTTGATGAAGTGTAGGATGCAAGGAGCACAAAGATGCCAAATCCAGGGGGACAAGTGAATACATCTATGAATATGAAGACAAGTCCGATGGGGCAAGTGAAAAGTGGGAAACAGTATATCCCCAAACCATAAGGAAACTGGTTTGAGGGGTGTTCTTAGTTCTTCGTAACTGATATGAGTTGGCTTATGATAGGGCCAGGGCATTTGTGGCCTTCTTTCAACTTGGCAGGAGGGGGTGGAAGTCCTTCTGGCATCTTAAAGGACTAGTAATTAAGAATCTAAGTCTTTAAAATCTGCTCTCTTGGTCTCTTACCTGTGCTCCTGTCATCTAGTGCTAACTACCTGGGGTAAATCTCAATTTGGTTGTTCCTCTAATCACTTTATTTTTAAAAATTTTTTTCCTCTGTCACTTTAAACTTAGAAGACAAAGACTGATTTCATTGGAATAGGGAACTGAGACAACTAGTACTAGAAATGCGGGTTGGCAACTTTTCTGCAACTTATAGAAATAATGCTAATAGCTAGCATTTATGTAGCACTTTAAGGTTTACAAAGTGCTTTACAAATATCTCAACCCTCACAACAATCTTGGGTGGTAGGTGCCATTATTATCTCCATTTTGCTGTATGCAAGATGCAGGAAGAGAGGATGCATGAAGATAAGAAAACTGAGGTAAATGGGTTAAGTGACTTGCCCAGGGTCATACAGCTAGCAAGTGTCTGAGGCACATTTGAACTCAGGTTCTCCTGACTCCAGTAGTTCTCTATCCTCTGTGCCACCTAGCTGTCCCTAGAACATCAAGAAGTTCAATGATATACCCTGGGTCATACAACTAGTATGAATCAGTGGTAAGAGTTGACCACAGGTTGTCTTGACTCTAATGCCCACTCTTTCCACTGTAATGTTTCATTTCATTATTAACTTAACACATCAGAAACCAAACTTGTTATCTTTGATGTTACAAACCAGTTTTACTTCCCAAATAACCCAGTGTTCGCTTTCCCAGTCTGGACCTTGAAATCATTTTGGACCAAAGCCAGTCTTTTTTCTTTACATTTTCTTTTACACCCATTCCTTCCATTCCAATTGACACTTTCCTATTAAGGTTCTTATACCCTCATAGCCATTCTGTTGTGGCCTTCCTAAGTTCTTTATCTTGAGGCTCTCATTCAGTCCATTCTACACACTGCAGCTGGGTTAATTTTGCTAAACACCACTGGGATTATTCCTCACTCTGGTTCAAAAACTTTCATCAGTTCTTCTTTGCCTATAGGATTAAATCCAGACCCAGCCTAACATTTGAGCATCTCCACAGTCTGGTTCTACTCTACCTACCCAATCTAATTCCTCCTCCACCCAGAGCTCCACGTTAACCCCTGACCCTCTCCCCCTTGCGCTGTTTCTCTGATTTCTGGCTTATAGGAGTGGATGTTTCATTTGCCTGGATTGTCCCCATCATCCCATCTCTACCCACTAAAATCCTGCTGCTCCGAGACTCATCTCAAATTCCAGCTCTCCAGAAAGTCCTTCTGGATTCCTTCCCCTGGAAGTAATTTCTCTCTTCGGTGGTGTTCTAGCCTTCATTTTTACCCAGAATGCCTTGTTTGCATCATTCCTCCTAGAGAGGCAGTGTGGTGGAGTGGAGAATTTTGTACTTGAAGAAGGTCTGGGTTTGAATTCTGCCCTTGACACTTTCTACTTGCTGGATGATCCATCCAGGATGGATAAGTCACTTCTCTGTTCTCAGTTTGCTCATCTCTAAAATGGAGGGAGGGAGGTAATAACATTTACCTCACAGAGCTGTGAAGCTCAAGTGAGAATGTGTGTAAAACTCTTCAAGGTATCATATAAATAAATGGTAGCTACTGTACGCTGTCATTTTTAGTTATCTTTATAGAGAAGACCGTAGATTTAGAGCTAGAAAGAACCTTACAGGCCATCCAGTCCGATCCCTTCGTTTCAAAGATGAGGAAGCTTAGGCAGGCCCCCAGACCCTATCAGTCTAAGTAACAGGCAATACAGTGTTTGCAGTCCACTGCTCTCTGGTCTCAAAATAGCCTGATAAGGAGTCAGGACCTGTTTGTTCCCTCAGTGCCTTGCAGATAGTAGGTTCTCAATGAATATTTATGGAACAAATGAATGACTTGTTTCTTTCGTATCCAATCGGCCACCAGTTCCTGTTGATCCTGATTTGCCTGTTTCTCTGCATTTCCTCGGCCACCAGCATAGTGAGGGCCTTCTGGCCTCCCCACTGTCTTCCTCAGTCCAGTTCTGTCCCTTCTTCATGCATCTTGCATACAGCTGACAGACTAACCTTCCTAAAATATCAGTTCCTGGCTCAGAAGCCCCAAATGCTTCCTTTTTGCCTGAAAAATCAGGTTTAAACTCTGCCTGCCATTTAAGATCTTTAATCAGGCCACATCCTGTCTATCAGACCTTATCTTCAAACACTTCAGCCCTTTAGTCTCTTCATTGGTCCTCTAAATGCATTCCCACTTTTTCCTCTGCCTGGCTCCTATGCCTACTTTGCTTCCAATTTCTTATGCAGCTTAAATACTCTGATCTCCATCAAGCTTCCTCTAAAGAGTATCCCATTCTGCTCTATCTAAATGCTCCTTCATCAGCCTCTCATCCCTGGTCCAAAATTACCTGTCATTTTCCCACTACTTTCATTCCCTTTGATTTCATACTAAGGTGTGAATGATTGCCACCCCATAACACAATATAATAGTCCCTGTTTACTTGATAACACCCCATGTGGTAGAATTTCAGGTAGTCTAGAGTAGATATTTTTAGGTAGCAGGGGTTTCCTAAGACCCTTAAATAACAACACTCACCTATTCCTATGTGAAAGTTGAATCAACCAGCAAATCAAATCACCAAGACTTACCTAGGGTTGTGGAGGGGAAGAGAGGGGGAAGGATAGTCTATGATTCCCACACACACATATCCCCCTCTTCTTCACACCTCAGTCTCCCCTACTAGAGAGAGGAGTTAGCTCTACTTGGTTTTTCTCCCTGAAAACTGCTTATTTGACCCTGACTCATCTTCATTGATTGACCTTCCAGGTAAGATCTTGCCCAGTCTATCCTCATTCTTTGAGGGTACAGGAAAATTTCACTTGCAATTGCTTCTGGCTGCATGTTTAGGAATTTTAAGCCATAGTAATTGTTTATGGTTACTTAAAACTACAAAAAATTTCCCTTCCTTTCAGACTCCTCTGTTGTTTAGTCATTTCAGTCATGTCTAACTCTGTGACCCCATTTGGGGTTTTCTTGGCAAAGATACTGGAGTGGTTTGCCATTTCCTTTTCCAGCTCATTTTACAGATGAAGAAAATGAGGCCAACAGGGTTAAGTGACTTGCCCAGGGTCACACAGCTAGTTGTATGAGGCCAGATTTGAACTTAGGAAGATGAGTTTTCCTGACTCCAGGCCTGGTGCTCTATCCACTGCATCACCTAACTGCCCAAAGATGTCGTGCAATCATGTCCAATTCTTGGTGACCTCATATGGGGTTTTCTTGGCAAAAATATAGGATTGCCTTCTCTTCTGCAGATGACACTGTTGACTGTAGTTCT